AGTTTTGCTTGAAGAATTCGTGTGCTGTGTGTGTGGGTGGGTGGGAGGGTGGGCAGAGAGGTCGGTGCAAGCGAAGATTACCGGTACCACCGGCAGGAAGCGAATTGGGAAGCCGGAATAAAGGGTCAGTAAGGGAAATTGACGGTCTAACATTCATCGACTAACCGATCCGCGGTCTTTTGGCGGTAGCCGAGTCCGGTTGAACCGGAAGAAAGAGCGAGAGCTGGCACAGGCCAAGCCACGAGCAGCTAGCTGTCAGCAAGGTGTGGAAAAAGTGCGGGGCAACGGGGAGTTCTTGCAACTCGATCCGCTACAGACTCCCTTTCTTGAGCATCATCACATCTTTGTGCGGGGTCATCGATACCAACGCAAAAGTACACTCATACTCTCTCTCCAATTTCACCAGGCATAAACGTTGGTCTTGAGGGACCGATTGGTGGAGATTCTAGTCATGACGCAGAACAAAGTGGGTCAGCAGTACGGTGCTGTACGACACTCGATCAACCTCGACTCTCTCAACGCCTACCTCTCTTCCAAGGTCCCCGCTATCAAGACCCCCGTCTCGGTCAAGCAGTTTTCGTTTGGACAGTCGAATCCTACGTACATCCTGTTTGCTGCTGACTCACGCAAGTATGTGCTGCGCAAGAAACCTCCCGGCTCCTTGCTCTCTTCCACCGCCCACGCCGTCGAGCGAGAATATCGAATCCTGAAAGCGCTGTTCGAGTACACGAAAGGTCTACCGGAGGATTCGAGGGACAGAATTCCCGTGCCGGAAGTGTTTTGTTTGTGCGAGGAGAAGGAGATCGTCGGAACGGCGTTTTATGTGATGGAGTTTATCGATGGAAGGATCTTTGAAGATTACCGGTTCCTTCAGATCGCGGATAAGGAGGAGAGGAGGAGGTGTTGGATGAGTGCCATCGACACCTTGGCTGCCCTTCACCGTGTTAACCCGGCAAAGATTGGGTTGGGTGACTACGGAAAGCCAAATGGATTCTACACCAGGCAGATGAAATCTCTCGGCAAAGTTAGCTCTATTCAGGCCGAGGTGAAGGATGACAAGACGGGGGAAAAAGTAGGAGCGCTCCCTCGCGGAATCGAATTCCTAGAATGGTTCTCTCGCAACATGCCAGCGGACGAAACGGGCATCGTTCACGGCGACTACAAGATCGACAACCTCATCTTCCACCCCACCCAACCGCGCGTCATCGGGATCCTCGACTGGGAACTTTCCACCCTCGGCCACCCCCTTTCCGATCTCGCCAACCTCCTCCAACCCTACTCGACCCCCTGCACCATCCCGGAGCGCATCAACGATCCCAGCATCTGGGAAGAAAGTCGACGCTCCGGCTCCCTCCTCCTCTCCCTCGGAAACCTCACCCCCGACCAATCCCCCGTACCGGTGGAATCCGATCTCATCCAGCGATACTGCCAAGGTACAAATCGCAAATATCCGATCGAAAGGTGGACTGCAGCCAAGGCGTGGGCCTGGTTCAGGCTGGCAGTCATCGCACAGGGGATCGCAGCGAGGAACGCCAAGGGCCAGGCCAGCAGCGAACAGGCAAAGGTGTATGGCAGCAAGTTCCCCATGTGCGCCCAGAACTGCTTTGTCGTCATCGAAGGTGATGAGAGGGGCGCAAAGGCCAAGTTGTAAGGAAAATTCAAACGTGTGAAACCCATCAGGAGAAAGAGAAAAGTGCGTGGGTTTGTGGGTGCGGTGTTGAACAGCGATACGCAGGCCGTGACAGGGTGAACCGACGAAGTGAGAATCCATCACGGTGTACGGATCACAGCATGTTGCTCGGCCCCTCGTTGGCCTCTGTGATGTCAACTCGGGAGTTCGTCCGGCTCACGTTTTGTTCGATACACCTCCAGAACCGCACTCACACTCTGGGCCACACGTTCTCTTCCTCACACTCGCACTTCACTTTTCAACCATTCTCTGCATTTTCTTCTTCCACTAAGCCACCGGCTTACCCGCCTTATCAGCGCCCGCGATCCTCCTCGCACTCAGAATCATCTCGACCACCGCATCCACGCCCTGATCCAGCTTGACACTGGTGAACGCCGTCGGTCCGCCATCCCTCACCCTATCCGCATCGCGCTTCATCACGCTCAGATCGGCACCGACCATATCGGCGAGATCGATCTTGTTGACCACCAGTACGTCGCTCTGCGTGATACTCGGTCCACCTTTTCTGGGTACTTTGTCGCCACCGGCAACGTCGATGACGTAGACGTGGAAGTCGGCGAGTTCGACCGAGTACGCAGCAGCCAAATTGTCACCTCCGGATTCGACGAAGAGGAGTTGGGTCTCGAATTCGGCTTGCAGCTGTTCCAGCGCCTCGAGGTTGGCGGAGATGTCTTCGCGGATAGCTGCGTGCGGACAACCACCTGTCTCGATGGCTCGGATTTTGGACGTGGGGTTGAGGGCAGAGTGCTTGCGCAGGAACTCCTGATCTTCGCGCGTAAAGATATCGTTGGTCACCACCGCAATGTTGTAGCGATCCCGGAGCTTTCGGCAGAGGCTCAAGAGGAGCGCAGTCTTACCCGAACCGACAGGTCCACCGATACCGACGGTGAAGGCGCGTTCGTTCCAGTTTCGATTCTCGTAGTTGGGCAGCTCTCGATCGTTGAACTTTCCAGGATGGTCCATGATGTCGTGCGTGTGGCCGTGATCGTGGCTGTGCGTATGCCCACCGTCTGCAGCATCACCGACGGTGGCAGAGTGGATGAAGGGAACACCCGTGTGCGCCAACCCGTCCTTGGCCATCTTCAAAGCGCCCTCCCGCGTCGCGTTTCCACCGATGAATCCAGACTGATGCACAAAGATACACCCAGGGATACCCGTCAGGTCGGACAACGCTTGGTCTCGGATACCCCTCCATGGCTCGGGAAGCGCCTTGCGCGAGACGAACGATTCGGGGGAGACGGGTACGGCTTGGATACGCCATTTACCGCTCTCATCCGGGTAGACGACGTAGATAGGCTTCTCCGTGGGGGCGATGTTGAGGTGCTTCTCGAGATCGAACAGGTGATCTTTCCAGCTGGCGAACTCGTCAAACACCAATAGCTGAGGGTGGGTGCGTCTGTTGAGTGCATCTTCGACCACTTGGCGAGCAGGCAGCCATGCGTTGAAGGCGTAGTTGAGTCTGTCAAAGAACTCCTTGCCAGCCATAGCGCTTGCGACTTCGAACCTGGAGTCGAGTTCAGCACTGTCCGACTTCTCATTCCAGCTAGGGTTGAGATACCCCACCCTGGCACTGAGATCGGTCCTGCTCTTGTACTTTGGCTTCAAATCGCTCGGATACTGCGAGATACCATTGTCGATGCCATCGATAGCCTCGACAAAGTCGTCGTACATCTTCAACCACAGCAGCTCGACGACATCCTTCTGCGCATTGGCATCGAGCTGCAGATGAGTCGAGATGATCTCTCGACCAAAGTGCTTCCAGACGAGTCCGGCGGAGGAAAGCTTGGTCGAGTGGTTCTCGTCAAAGACCTCTTCGAACCCACGTTGGTGGTGATCGTATCGGTGGGTTTCGGGGGAGTAGGTGGCGCCTACGTCGACGACGATGGAGCCAGAGTCGATGGTGGAGGCGTCGCGGGTGCGGGTGAGGGGAGCAGAGGCGAAGCGGGGGAGTTTGCGGAGGAGGTTTACGGCGAGTGCTTCGTCGGCGTGGAAGGTACCGCTGTGGGTGATGATGTGTTCTGGCATGTTGACAGAGCGCGCGATCGGGAAGAAATACGATGTCAGAAGAGGTTATGGGATGATAGTCAAGAAGCAAAAGAGGTCTTGAGAAGTTGCGTCCCTTCGAGTCTTGTTTAATAAATTTCTTCCTGCGCTGCGCTTTTTCCTTTTCTTCTTCTTTTCCTCATTTCGCCAAGACGCGGCGGTGTGCGCTGAAATCGCACGAGCCATCCTTGCCAAAAAGTTGCCTTTCCCTTCATCTTGCCTCCGACGTCTTCTCCGACTCTCAATCTTGCTCTTTGCTTTCTGCGCTCACGCAAATCAACTCACCTTGACCGTCGACCTTGGTCCTCTTGGGTACGGACTCTTGCGTACTCATCGTGTCCAACTGGAAACCGCGATATGCGACCTGAAAGTCCAGTTTGAAGCGTAACGAGTGGATCGGCTCTCGCAACAACACTCGCAGTGGTGTGAGAGAGGTCGGTGGTACAGGGCAAAGTCGAAATGCTGCTGTTCGTACTGCGCTTATCATACGCTGCTGTCGAGCAAGCAGGTGAGATCGAATCGAAAGCGGCGTGTGACTTTCGGTGTCAAGGATGGTGGTGCGGATGAGGAATGACATTTCTTCAACATTTTCCTTTTCTCGTCGGTGAGCGAGCGCTTCTTTTTTCCAGCAGCTCTCGGATCTTCTCCGCTTCACGCCGAAAGAGACTCTTGTTCTTTCTCACTGGCAACAAACACTGCTAGACACCTTGATTCACACTTGGCTTCGCTGATTGAGTATTCATGTGTTCTATTCACCTCAAAAGGCACCGTGACTGTGACGGTATCAACATGGACAACGTCAAAACAGGGGTAAGGAGGGTCAAGGGTCAAGAGTTGAGGTCGACATCCAGCTGCTCCGACAGCGACCACGGCTGCTGCTCCTGCTAATGGCGATACTCATCCGGCTCTTCGGGGTTATCCCGATCCAGGAACAAAATCCTGCTCTGGTCCATGACAGTATCGTTCGTATCCACCCTGTCCTCCAGAGCTGCCACCATCGGCGACCACTTGGGACTCGCCAGCATCGACGGCTCCACCTGCTCCTGCTCTGCGCCCCGATGCATAGGCGACTCGAATTGCATGTTCTCCGCATGTGCTTCCATCTCGGCAATCTTGTCGGCGAGATCGATCGAGTGCGTGCCAACAGACCCGCTGCCATCGAACGAGCCAGATCCTGACGCCATGTAGTCGTAGCTCGACCCTGGTAGCACCAGCGGACCTGGTACGGGCTGCGGATGACGCATGCTATGGCGGAATCGTTCTTCAGGCGACGATTCGATCGGCGCGTACCCGTTGCGGAAGCCCAAAGTGGATGGACCAGCTCGTTCGCGCATGTCGACGCCCGAACCATGATCCAGAGCGTCCGCGCCATCGTGACCGTCGTGCCCATCATCATCCGAAAAAAGCAGCCCTTCACCTTCGTCATCGTACAGCACCTCGTCGTCGTACATGCCATCCTCGCCTTCGTCGTCCAACTCGTCCACCGCGCGTCTGGCAACAGACAAGAGGTAGATCATGATGCCAAAGCACAGTCCCGCACCGATCAAGCCAGCCCATTTCTTGACGTGCTCCGCCGTCTCTGAAGCCTCGGCATCCTCCTTGCTCTCACCATCAGCTGCGCCGTTGTACGCTGCAAAGTTCTTGATCGATGTTCCGAGCCCCGTGTGGATGAGCAACTTGGGCAGCGCCAATGCAGTGCACGTCACGTAGGTGCGCAGCGTCAACGTGGGCGAACTGGCAAGCAGGGTGTTCATCAGATTGTACGGATACGGCGCAAGTCGCACCAGAAACAACAGCTTGGGCTGCTTTTCAATGGCACGAACCACCTTCTTCAGCCCTCCGCTCTTGTTGAGCAACCCCACCATCCACTCGCGCAGCAACGATCGACTGAGGGTGAATACCACAATGGCACCTGAGAGTGCGGCAATGTAGCTGATGATGAAGCCTTGCCACAGGCCAAAGGTGAACCCGCAAAGCATGATCAGCGTCGAGTAGAGCGGCAATGGCGGAAATGTGGTGAGAAAGATGAGCGAACCCAGCATGACCTTGCCCCACAAACCCAAGCCCTGCAAGTAGGTCGACATGTGATCGAGGCCAATAAACACTTGCGTGTGGAAAGTGATGACCAGCGCCGTGCTGCTCAGACTGATGCCGAGCCAGATGAGCAGTGGCACGTACGCCTGCAGCCAGGCGGGATAGTAGCAGCGCACGCCCGTCTGCGGATCTCGAAAAGCGTCGTCAATGGCGATGCGTGTCTCGATGCAGTACTCTCTGAAGCGTCGAAATGCCTCTGCGGGCGAGGCAAGCAGACGGACGAAGTGCGCTACCGTTGCGATAAAGACGAACAAGCTCTGTCGAAACGTTCTTTGTGGCTTGACCTGGCGGGCGATGCGACGTTTCCGGCTGGGACGTAAACGAACAGCGCCTCTGCGAGCCTGTGGGATGACGATGGGCGAGCCGATCAAGATGGAAGAGTGCGTGGACTTGTGGCCGTTGGGTAGCTGCATGTCGGAGCTGTCGCCGAGAGCGGCGGTAGGCTGCTGATCGACAACGGCGCTGTTGCGTCGCCTGTTGACCGAAGCTGGTCGTGGTCGATAGGCAGCCGGAGTAGCCCTTCGCGACTCGGAGATGCTAGCACGCCAGGTCATGTCAGCACTCATGGGTTTGGGCGAAGATGAGCGCAGCTTGCCCTCCTGGTGGTGAGCATGTTGATGACGGGCGTGATGGATGGAAGGGGTGAAGCGCGTTCCGACTGCTACAGCAGCCTTGCGTCCATGCCCCTTGCCTGCTTCGTCGTCGCTCAAACTGTTCCTGTCGTCCTGAGAGGGGCGAGCGGAGCGCAGGGCAACAGGAGACGAGCGGCCGGCCACAGCATCCATTATGGACTGCGCGGCCGAGACGGCAGCACGGCCGATGCCCGAGTTGAGTAAGGAAGGAGAGGCGACTCGATGCAGCGACTGGCCCTTGGACTGGTGCGGAGGATGCGCATCGTGTTCATGGAACGAGCTGGAGCGTGAGCTGGGTTGCTTGTGCTGCTGCTGCTGCGTGAAGATGTTGTGATGGCGAGCGCTCGTGGGAGTAGCCGAAGTGATGTGAGGGCTGGTGGGACGCTTTTCGGCTTCTTCCATGAGACTCTGCCTGCGCGAATGCGGTAGCCCACTGGTGTCTATAAGCGGAACCGCACGTTTCATGTTTGAGCTGCGAGCGTTGGTGCTGTCAACGGCTATCCTGGGAGGTACGGACTGAGAGCGATTATCGGCAGACAGCCAATAGGATGAGGAAGACGAAGCTGCGTTGGACAATGAAGTTTCGTCTTGTGGCGCGCCAAAGAGACCTTCTGGAGGTAGCTCATAGTTGGGTGTAGCGCCGAAGGCGGCGGTAAAGTCGGGATGGTTGGAGAAGGTGGGAGCATCCGAGTGGAAATGCTGATTGGTCCTCTGCGCAAGGGTGGAGCGATTGGCGAGCTGATTTGTGGTGTTGGACGACGAGGCGTGCGCTTTCCTGTGTGGAGAAGGGGAGCGTGAAAGAGGAGAGCGGGCCGGCATGGCGCCGAGGGAGCCGGGATGGCTGCGGCGCTCGGTCCCCGTCATGGCGACGGAAGAGATATGGACAGGTCCAGACAGCAGCCTCAGAATGAGGGAGCGCGGGCTGAGCTCAGCTTAGCTCAAAGGAGCTTTCGCCTGATCAGCAATCGGCAATGCTACCTGGGTCCAGTCAGGTGTGCAGAGTGCAGGCAGTCGCAGGACGGTCGTGGGCCGGCTAGATGCTCGCAGATGCTCTACAACCAGTTGCGAGGATTGGCATGCATGAGGAAAAGGAAGATTCGACGCGAAACGGAAGACTTGATAAGTTACTAAGAGTAGGATCGGAGAAACACTCGCGACCAAGCTACGAGGGTGGGACCCCGGGCAGAGTGATGCGAAGGGACGTGTCGGTGCGTCTGGAGAGCGTCTGCAAGATGCAGTGATATGTGCCACAGTATTTCGAAGGTATAGTTGCAGCTAATAGGCGAGCGTGCAGGGGCCCATGAGCTCAGATTGGAAGCTTGAGGAGCCAACCAGCGGTGGCTGTGTCGCGGTGAAACGAAAGATGAAGAAAAGAGGGTGGTGGGATCGATGCGGTGTGATTTGGGCAGGGCAGATCCGCTTGCGCTTGCGCTGACGATGCCGATGAAATGCTTACGAAGTCGAGGTGGGAGATGAAGGCGAGAATGAGATATCAAGATGATGGTGAGCAACAAACGCACACAGCCTGGGCCCGTCGGTGTACTTCCAAACAAAGTTACAGTAGCTTGAGCCAAGTTATCGGCACCATCAACCGTCAAAGCAGTGCACTCGCTCGCTCGCTCAGCTTGGACCAACGCTCTGTTTCGTTTCGCCGTGAAATCACACGCCCACTCCCACAAGATCACATCTCGCTCGGCTCTTCAGCTCCTCCCACGTTTGAATTCTTTTCTTTTTTGGTCGACTTTTCCAATCTTTATTTCTATTTCTTCTTTTCTTTCTCCTTTCCCGTTTCTGTTCTATTTTTTCGGGAACCATTTCGATGGCGTCTACCTTCCGATATATCGTGTTGCCACTGCAATCATTCGTGATCGCAGAGGGTCCGTCGAGTGTGCTGTGAGCGAAGGGGCAAGCTAGAAATGCGTAGCGTCAAGGAAGAGAGCCTAAAGGAGAAATCGGCTACGGTCGACTGATTGGGCAGAGATTAATGTGTCAGAAAAAGAGCATCGATCCACTTGACCGGCGCAGCTTGTGCCGACGTCGAAGCTCGTTTCGACCACCAAGTATCGAGATCAGCAAGCCGAAAGGAAGCTTTCGAATCAGATTGCTGCTACAGTGCCGTGTACATGCGCTGCTTTTGGTCTGTCTGCAATTCGACACTCCGCTCTTTCCCCGCCACACCTTCTTCCCACAAAGGCTCTTCTGTCCTCTTCGATCGCTCCGAGTATAGAGTTCAGGGTCCAATCATCGCGCGAACTCCCCTATCCAGCTCTTGCCCCGCTGCTGCCCTCATCCTCGTCGTCCTTTTTCCATACTCGGGGACCCCTTTTCCTCCTGTCGCTCCCGGAAAGCCTGCTGCTCTCATCATGCAGACAAGACCGGTCTGACACTACCCGAAGTTTTTGCTTATGGCTCGCACGTCTGGATGCAAATTCAGAAAGCGTGCAGAAACGACAACGCTAGCATAAGAGAAAGGGAAATCTGCCGCCGGCTCAGCTGGCCACGTGGCGTCTCGAGGTCGTCCCTTCTGAATGAACTCATCTTCACAGCCTCGGCCCGACATGTTAAGATGCGCACATCCCTCCTTTGCCGCGCTCGTCTCTTTGTCTCCTCGATGTGTGACAATTGTCCGTCATGTCGATCAAACTGTCCTCCCCTTTGATCTTCCGAGCCCGCTGAGCCTCATTCAGCTCATCTCCGCGATGCTTCGTCGAATCGAGGCCGCCACTATTTCCACGTCCATGCTGCGTCTTGGTGGACAGTGTCCGATGTCCAGCTCCAGCACTTGTCTGTCTACATCCGTGTACAGATCTGCGAGCCTCTTCGACTCCTCCAAGCCGGCGTCTTTCCTTCCCTGAACATGCAAGCTGCGGATGGCGATCGGCGGCACGCTCGCTGGCTCGACTCTTTCCATGCTTCCGTCCGGGCCAAAAGGTCTGCCACCGCATATGAGGATCACCAAGCGCAGCGGAGGCGGCCCGACTCGAGTACGATCCTGCTGCATCTCCAGCAGCAGGCCTGTCGACACTGCACATCCTTGCGAGAAGCAGATCAGTCCATCGTAAGCGCCACTCTCGGTCAGCAGCGGCGTTTTGATCCCTGCCGTGCTCGGGCACGATACAGGCGTATCCACTGCAGGAACGCTGGCAGCAGCATTGAAGCTTCTTCGGATCGTTCCGTGGCCGTTCCGACACCAGTCATCCGTTCTGCCGACCGCACTGGAAGCGCTAGAGAAAGACCTGTGCGGCAAGAAGCCGATGGGCGGAGTAGCCGTGTTGGATGACAGTGGCGTATTCGGCAGAGAAAAGGCGCCCAAATCGAGATTCAGACCTGTAGAGATCGATGGCATTACAGCGCCGCGCGGCTTGAAGCTGCCGACATGCTCTGGGCAAAGCTGTACGGCCACCCTCGTATGCGCAGCCTGCAGAGCATCGCGAGTGGGCTCTTGGTACCATGCATAGTAAGACTCCTTCGGAAAGACGGTCTCGATACCTGCGTACAAGCAAAGGAGCAGCTTTTCAGCCAAGTGTAACAGCGCAACAAGGTCTTGGTCTTCCGACGACGACTCACCTTGGTACGGAGCAGACGGCTCACCGCCGTCTATGTAATCGACCACGACGATCTCGCCCAGTAGATCGACGATGGGCTTGATCTGCGCCCTCATGATCCTTGCAGAGGTCCCTTTGCCGTGCAGAGCAAGCAGCCTTATCTTGCGTGCAGACATTGCCAGCTCTTCGTCCCGGCTGAGTTGTCGGAGGAGACCAGGCCAAATGCTTGAGTTTGTACGTTGCAAAGAGCCACACGATCGATGCATCCTTCGGTGCATCGATGCACCCTATAAATAAGCAGAACCCAGATCGAACTTTGATCCAGGATGGCGTGGGATCTTTCGCAAACTAGCTCTGTCGACGTTGCGGTTCAAATGCCCATCAAGGAATCTCACGTCGGATCATCCGATCGTCACCTCCCGCGAATTGGAGACAAGGGCAATGGGCGTGAGGGTGGCGCCGAGAGGCCCACAACTTTCAAAGTCGGCTGCATGAGGAGACGCCATATGTAGCGTTTGTGAGGCCACAGAAGTCTTCGAACATCTGACCTTGACTCCGAAGGTCACGTCGGGCCTGTCACATCGGATGCGCCTTTTTGCTTTCAAACGGTGTCGCGGCGGCTGTCCAAGAAGCTCCGAGGGTTACGTCCCCACAGTGCTGTCAAGCCTCGTTTCGGATTTGAGAACCACCTCCGAGCGTACCTCGGTGTGGCTAGCTGCGTCTAGACGCTCCATCTAAGCGTCTCGCACCCCTTTGCTAGCCACACGAAGTTCTGATGCGCCACAGCGCGAAACGCTTCGCCACGCCGGCTCTTGCGAAAACTTTGGGCGTACCTCTTCGAATCTTCACATCGAGAAGACACCGCAGCTCTCGAGGCCGAGTGCAGTTGCGGAACTGAGGAGATTGCCAGCAAAATTCATCAAAGTGCTTCCTCGAAAGCATCTCCACTTGCGGCAGACGTCTCTACAGCGGTCTGCATCGGGTCGTTCCGAGACCGACGCCATGCTCGGATGTGCCGAAACAAACTCTTATCGGAATCACACGCCACTACTTCGATTCACAAGAGCCCAATTTGGCTTGAAGAGCTTCGGAGCACGGGACATAGCCGGGATCAAGCCGCTGGACCTCCTCCGATACGCTCGACGAACACGACGGACGAATCGCAAGTTTCTACCTTGGGAGCGTCACAGCAACCAGACGGGCTCGCTTCTTCCGCACGCATCACCGTCGGCTGCCTCCTGAATGCACTGCACCAGCGATCTGATCCCTTGCCTTTCTTTCGAGCCGCTGCTGACGCTCGTGTCTTTGCATGAGGCAGAATCATTCAAAGCTTGAGTGACCAAGAGGATCAGAACGAGCAGCTTGGAGCCACCTTGTCACATATAAGACTGCTTCACGAATATCTGTCCCCTTGACGATCGGACGCGGAACTTCTGCGCCCTTTTCGCGTGACAGTCTACATCAAGCTCGTCCGCCATCCGCCGACTCATAGAGACACCTCCAATCATGAAGGCCCACGGACACAAGGTCGTGTTTCTTCATGCTTCCCATCGTCACATTCTCCTTCCATCCACGTTCAAACTGTTGCACGTTGCGTCACGCTACGATGTCGTACTCAAAGCATTCATCGACACAGCTTATCGTGCGTTGCGAACAGAGGCAGACGTAGCTTCGCATACGATCTCGGACGGTCACTTCAGGCGCTTTGCCCTCCCTGACACATTCGAGCGGCTTGCAGAAGAAGCATCTGTCCAAGATCTGCGGTCACTTCCGCTCACGTTGACCACCTTGGCGCAAGTCGCAGTGGTGCTTGCATCGAAACTTGAATTCAGAGAGGCTTTGCAAGGCGATATTGCTGCAATGTGGGATCCTGAGTCACACTTGTCCATCGCTGTCCTTCGGTCGGTCGACGTCTCTTGCCGCCTGGAGTTGATGGCCACGGCCATCGGCGCAATCAAGCTTGCTTACTGGCTCGACCTCTACATACAGAAATCTCAATTGACAGGCAATCGTGATGCCCGGAAGAGGGTCAGCATCCACGCCAGCCAAGAGCACATTACTGCTATCACAGCGAAGTGCTCTGCGAACGGCATACAAGTCGAGGAGACTGTCAGCGGAATAGTGATCGCGATTGATAAAATCACACATCTGGAGACTGTGCTCTACGACGACGACGACGACGACGCACAGCGACATCGAAACAACATCGCGACTGAAATGTCTTTGATTCCCGCATTGACATCGGGCGACTGTTTACTGCTTTGGAAAAATCTGCAGTCAAGTTTGCTCGAACGAAACATCAAAGTGTCGCTGAAGTACGATCAAGGTCCTTCCCAGCAGCCAGGTGCCAGAGATGAGCTAGTTGTTGATATCGCACAGCTCTTCTCGACCTTGGATTTCGGACGGTCACAACAGCAATTAAAGAACGCATCGGATCTGGCTCAAGAGCAACTCGCCGCATCGCGTGTACACACACCTCGAATCGAGCTCGCGCTCTTGGGTGGAACGATGAGGGACGAACACGCCCGTTCTGCAGCAGAAAAGTTTTCATCGCACATGATCGCGTACGTTCCCCTCAAGCTACTCGATCGCCTGTACCCAAAAGACTCTCATCGCTATGGAGACGAACCGGTGCCCTCTTCAAAGGTTCGAGGTACTCCTTGTCAACAAATCGCCATCATCGGATTGTCGTGCAAAGTACCAGGTGCGAACGACGCTGATGAGCTCTGGCAATTGCTCAAAGAGGGCAAGAGCATGTGCGAAGAGGTGAGTGCGGAGCCGTGTGCAGTGCCACGCCCTGCTCGAGGGGCCGTTGGACACATGGAGACTGACCCGTTCAAAGTTGCCCTTGTTGCCGCTCGTTCGCAAACCCTAGATCCCTGAAAATCTGTATCGCTACCAAGATTATCATTCCGCGTCGTATAGGGAGCGCAATGTGATGCGAGTCAAGACGGGCAATTTTATGGCCAGCCCAGGCTCGGTTGACAAGAGCATCTTGGAGGAAATTGCGAACAGCGGCGACTGCGCAAAGATCGACCCTCAGCAGAGGGTGGCCATCCTCACCGCTTACGAGGCTCTGCAGAAGGCAGGATACGGCTTCTCACCCTATCGACGTCCCGATAAACCCGAGCAGTGGAGCACGCATCTCGCCTACTGCAGCGACGACTATCGCGAGCACCTCAGTCAGAACATCGAGGGTGACTTTGTTGCTAACACTCATCGTGCGCATCTTGTCGCCAGGCTCAACGAAACGTTTGGCTTCCGCGGTGAGGCCTGCACATACGACACTGCGTGCAGCTCGGCTCTGGTCGCGGTCGAGGCCGCTTGTAACAGCTTGCTGTCCGGAGAAACGTCCGCCGCGCTCACAGGAGGCGTTAACATCCTGACGCAGCCGCAGATCACCATCGGACTGGACAGAGGTTTCTTCCTCTCGCCGTCGTCCCAGTGCATGACGCTGGACGACGCAGGTGCCGGCTACTCACGCGCCGACGCAGTGTCCATCATGCTGCTAAAACGACTTCCGGACGCGGTACGCGACGGCGATCCGATCTTGGCCCTGATCTCATCGGCTGCAACCAATCATTCTGGCGAATCTTTCTCCATCACACATCCCCATGGCCCGACGCAGAAGAGGCTCTACCAAGCAGGTATGATAGCCAGCAAGACGTTGCCCCACGACTACAGCTACATCGAAATGCACGGCACCGGTACGCAAAGCGGCGACTTCGAGGAGGTCTCTGGCATCGTCCAGACCTTCGGCCAGGGCAAGAGGGGTGAAGCAACGCCGCTCGTACTTGGCTCGGTCAAAGCTAACATTGGGCATTCGGAAGCAGCTTCAGGCGCCAGCAGCATGATCAAGACTGTCAAAATCTACGAGCATGGTGAAGTTCCCCGGCATATCGGTATCCGCACCAAACTCAACACGAAGCTTCCACCCCTTGACGGTCTGCATGTCCCTTTGCAAGAGACAAAGCTGGACAGGGCCGATACGGCATTCACGCTCGTCGACAACTTTTCGGCAGCTGGCGGCAACTCGTCCATCGTCATGGATCGAGGCACCGCGTATCGGGACAGGCTGCTGAAGATGAGTGAAGATGCTCTCGACGTGGCTGCCCATTCTGCACATGGGTCCGACGACAGACACCATCTGCTTTTCGTCACGGCCGCCACTTCGTTCTCTTTGGACGCAAAACGGCGCAGGTTAATGGCGTTCCTGGACTCAAACAAGGACATGAGCTTGACAGAGTTCTGCAGCACAGTTTCGCTGGGCGATCCCATGCTTCCCCACCGCCTCATTGCCACGCCTGCCAGCATAGCTGAGGCGAAGACGTGTCTCTGCAGCCAAGAATCCGTTTTGATCAACACCGGCCCCTTAGATCGCACAAGACAAAGCATCGGCATCGTATTCAGTGGTCAAGGGGCCCAATACCTCGATATGGCAAGGGAACTCTACGGACAAAGTCCTGCCTTCCGCCGACACGTTGACAACTGCAACACCATTGCTCTGAGTCTGCAGCTTCCCAGCCTGGTCGAAGTCATCCACCCGCTTCGCGCCACTCTCGACGCCTCGCAGACTGATTCGAGATCCGAGCGCAAGGCTGATACCTTCAACGCGGTGCAGTATCAGCTCGCGCTGATCGCTGTTGAAGTCGGCTTGGCATCGATGCTGCTGGACTGGGGCTTGACGCCTTCCTGCGCTGCCGGTCATTCCCTCGGAGAGTATGCAGCGCTCTGGCTTGCTGGTGTCCTATCTTTGCGAAGCCTCGTCGAGCTCGTTGGCCATCGTGCTATGCTCATGATTGAGCTGTGTGCGCCGAACGCCTCGACGATGCTCGCTATTCGTGAGGGTGACGGAAAAGTTGAGCAGCTGCTGGAAGCATGTGGTAACGAACAGCTCGAGATCGCCTGCCTCAACAGTCCCAACGACACTGTGGTCGCCGGACCGAACGAAGAGATCGAAAAGCTGCGTAATTTCTGCGAGCAAAGCGATCCCAAGATCAAGGCGATGGCCATTCCGGTGCCGTATGCATTTCACTCGAAGGCTGTAGAGCCTCTCATGGATGAGTATCGCAAGGTGGTCGCAAAACACCCTTTTTCCAAGCCGATGATCCCATTGGCCTCTAACCTCTTCGGCAAAGTGATGACACCCGACGGCAACCAAATCGACGGATCGTACCTCGTCTCACACCTTCGCAGACAGGTACTGTTCTCAGATTCGATCAGCGACACGCAGAAGCAGCTCGTCGTAGACGTCTGGGTAGAGATCGGACCTCATCCGACTTGCACACCGATGTTGAAAGGCTGCTACGCCGGTTCCACGCCCATGCCAGAATTTCTGTCTTCTTTCCGAAAGGGCAGCTCCTCTTGGACTGCGACGCTGAGCCTGGCCAAGGAGCTCGCGTCCCGTGGCATTGATTTGCGCTGGGACAACGTCTTTGCCGATCTTGGTCTCCGAACCCGCCACCATGGGCTGGCAGAAGAGCTACCGCTGTATCCCTTCGATCTGGACGAATGTTGGGTGCCGTTCAAAGATCGCGGCCTTCGAGATCATCTCGTTGCAGCATCCCGCCAATCTGATCCTTGGGAAGGTGGGCGAAACTCGAGCGAAGCTACTCACGTCGCATCAATGAGACGACCGAAGCCACTTCACTCTTTAATTTGGCAAAGTGTCAAGCTCGAAGGCACGCCACCTTCAGCGATGTTCTTAGCACGCGTCAGTCAGCGATCGTTCCGCGACTTTATTCGTGGTCATGTCATCCTCGGCGTTCCCCTGGCGCCGGCTACGGTCTTTGTTGAGCTTGCGCAAGAAGCTGGAATGTATTGGTGGCAGATGGACCCTTGCAAGCAGAGACCGTCCTCACAATCATCGGAGGATGTGGTCATTGAGGTGCTGGGACTTTCAATGGTGGCTTCGCTTTACCTGAACGAGAATGACTCCAGGCAAAGCATCGAGATCACAATGCAGGGCAATCCGACGTCAAACGATGGCTCGATCGTGCAATTCTTTTCTCACAGTGAGCACCAGCTTCAACAGCACCAATACGGTTCCTGCCGCATTCGGATCATCTCAAAGGAGCAGGTTGCTCGCGAGTGGGCCAGACTTCGACACCTCATCCTCCGAACGGTGTCGACGATCAAGTCGCAGCCTGCCTGCATGATCAAGACCGAGACAATCTACAAAAGCTTCGAGGCCATCGTGCTTTACCTGGGCGGCTTCCGCGGCATGAACACCATCTGGATGACTGAGCATGGCGACGAAGCTGTGTCCGAGGTCAGTCATCATGCCGATGCCGTCGACGGCCGCTTCCTATGCAGTCCGATGCTGCTGGACAGTCTCGGAGGTCTCACTGGCTTCATCAGCAACGTCAGCTTTGCTGAAGGCCCCTTTGTCTACATGGCTGAAGCTATTGGCAGGATCGTGATCATGCCTGCTGTCGGCAAAATCGAGCCAGGAAGCAGAACAAAATTGCAGGTATACGCAAGGATGGAGCAAGACAAAGAGCTGTCGAAGGGGTCCGCCTACTTTTTCTTGCCAGACGGAGAGCTGATGGGGTCCATGGAGAACATCGCCTTCAAACGGATCCGCAGGGACATGCTGAGCAGGCTGGTGCAGCTTTCCTCAAGAAGCTTTGCCGGCGAGGCGGCTAAGGCCGCAGAAAGCAGCGCCCGTCATGAGACGCTCAACGTCTCTCATACTGCTGTCAGGCCGCAAGACAGCTGTGGCACAGCGTCGAAGACGACAACTGAGATTCCTCCTAGAACGATCCCGACAACGTTCCTACCAGCTCCTGGCGACCAGAAAGCCAAGTCGCCGATGGACGAGCTCACGAATCCGGACAGGCGCTACACATTGTCCGCCCCGGTCCACATCGGTGGACCAAGATCCAAGCGCTTCGACGGACAGAACATCCTCTTCGTCTTTCCGGACGGTAGCGGCACGGCTCAGTCGCTGCCCAAGCTCGAGTCCGTCGACTCGCTTTCGATTTACGGCTTTGACTCACCCTACCTGGGCCACACTGAAGCATGGAGTCGCGGCATAGCGGAGCTGATCGATCGTTTCGTCGAGCTGCTTCGCAGTGTCCAGCCGCAAGGACCGTACAAGCTCGCCGGATGGAGCATCGGCGGCATCTTCGCGCTTGAGGTGGCCCGACGGCTCCTCTCGGCTGGTCAGGAAATCGCATTCGTGGGGTTCATCGACACGCCGAGTCCAAAGCAAATTCAGCCGCTGCCTGCCGACACGCTTGACGAGATGCTCAAACCGATCACGTCCAACACAGTTCGGGAGCACTTTAGGTCGTGCGCCCTGAGCCTGCCGGATTACCGCTGCCTGGGCTTGCAGCCGTCGGAACGGCTGCCCGGAAAGGTCGTGATCGTCAACGCCAGGGCAGAGTCCAGGTTGAAAGGCGTCATTGCTACCGAGGGCGACTGGAGAGCATTCTGGTTGAGATCCAACAACGTCTCTTTCCACGAAGTCGATGGCGACCACTGGAGTTGCCTGAGACCTGCTCTCGAACTCATCGTACGCAGCGCCCAGGAGCAAAAGAGTTGATCTCTTCTATAGTCCCTTTCCCAGACCGAGAACACTGTACTGAACAATGACTTGAAACAATGTCGAACAAGAAAGCATACGAAATGTCAACCAAGAATGATGCTCTGATCGAATGTTGACCTGCAGACCGATGCTGTGGCTGATTTGCATTTTGGAATGGTGAGTGTAAGTAGTGTACAATGGTGCAGGTGTGGGTTGCTCTAGGTCGGAACACGATGGTAGCGATGCTGAAAAATCTCGCGTCTCGCTTGGCTGGTAGGGCTGGCGAGGCAACCTAGAGGTATCGCGAAGACTGCGGGCAGTACGACTCGAACCTTTCCTCGACCTTGTCCCAGTTGACGCAGTTCCAAAACCTCGTGAGATATTCCTCCTTGCCCATGATGCCGTAATCGTTCAACCAGGCGTGTTCGTGGACGCTGATGTTCAAGAGGGGGTAGAGGTCCTTGCCTACTTTGTCGGTGATTCCGAGGCCTGTGAATAGGGAGTCTGCAGGTCTTGTTGGGCGCTCTTGGGATTGTTTGGGAGAATCGGAACCGGTGGTGGAATGATCGTTGATGCTGGGCAGGGAAAAGTGTTTTCCCTGTTGAATTCTGTTTTGAACAATAACAGTTCCTGCACCGAAAGTTGGGACTACACCGAGGTTTCTGTGTTGGTCTGTCACTAGCCATACCCAACCTGATCCGCTCATACCATAAGCAGCGGAGGAGAATGCGAGGCACATTTCAGGGAAGCTACCGAAACTCTTGGAGATAGCAGTGGCAACTTTGGGCAAAGGTGTAGGGTTCCTCAGCCGATCCTGTGGTGCAAGAGTGGAGAGGAAGAAGGCATTGTTGAGTGCCTGGGAAGCGTAGTTGAAGGCGAGAATCTTTTCACGATTCTGGGAGAGGGAGATGACGGTTTCGACGATGGAAGAGGAGGCGTGCTCGGTATCGCGCACCTCTTGGTTGAGCAGCTCGAGCAGACCGGATTGCCAGGTTTGGGAGATCTGGTTGATGGTAGGTGATGAGAGGAACGGTGCACAACCTTGGGAGAGCAACTCGGGTGTCGGTGGACAGGTGTGAAGTGTGCGAAGGTTGGAAGAGGAGGACGGCGAAGCTGTGGACGAGGAAGAGGCAGAGGTTGCCGTGCGAAGCGCACGCGATGCGAGACGTCCTGAGCGGACGAGAGGTGCAACGACCATCTTTGGTGGGTGAGGTGACGGTGAAAGGGCGAAGGCGAAGGTGTTGCAGAGTCAGAGTGGCTCCGTGATGTCGCTCGTGGTGATCAGGCAGAGATGGCAGTGAGTTTCTGAGAAGAACTTGAAAATCATTTTGTTTCTTCGGGACAAGGGAAAAAAGTGCTTTTCTTGAATCGCAGCAGACTGTCACGCTTTTACGTTCTCGGGCGAGAAAGCACCATGACGCTCAATATTCTCGCGAAGAAACGCGGCTTTGAGCAACGCTCGCACGCTCCAACTCCACACAAAACACAGAACAACATCAACACTTTTTTTTCTTTCTTTTCCTCTCTTTCTTCTCACTCGTCCAACTCAGCATACGATCACCACCTTTGCGTCCCAAACATCCCCCTTGGTTTTCGGTGCTCGGCTCGCGCCTTCCTCCAGAGCATGCCGTCCGGACTGGCAGCAGTGCCTCCGGCGCAGTTGCCCACCAAGTATCGCGATGTCATCAAGATCGCACTGCGCCCACGCCAAACTCGAGCTTTCGTTCTTGCTGCGGTTGCATGGCATCTCTTCTTGACGTCGGCGCTACTCAGTACGCTCTCACTCTCACTCATATCACCATTGACACTGGCAGCTAGCCTGCTGTCGTTCGGACTCGGCGTACTTCCCTTGCTCGCAAAGCGCAAACGCAGCCTCTCGCAGATCACAACACCGCCAGCTCGATTGCCGTCATCCAAGGCGCAGCAGCTGTCGGCAGCATTATCAGATCCAACTCTGGTGACATTGATATTTCAGCATGTTGTTGCATTCGTTGTGCTGGCGCTGGGATATGCTGCGCTGCTCACGTACCGCAAAGGCGGATGGGCACCTCAGATCTGGGTCGAATCGCACGCATCTTTCTACCTCAACGAACGCTTCCTCTACCTCGTCGGCCAATCCATCGTGCTCGGCGCCGTGTACGCATTCGTTTCGCGATCGCTACCGTCTCCTCAAGCTGTGGCGTCACCGTCTTTCGACGCATCGACATTGACAACCGACACACCCGTGACGATCAAACATCGTGTCGTCGCCGCCTTCACCGCACGTCTGCCCCGAGCAGCTCTCGTGGCAGCACTCACTTCCTCAGCCAGCATCCTCGTATACAGCATCGTCCGCATTCGCATGTGGAGCACCATCCTGCTCGTCCTCGGAACGCGTGGCGTGATGCGTCGACTCTTGGTCCCTTCGTTCCGCGTCGAATTCGCGTTCTTCGAAGTGTCGGTTCGAAGCGTGCTTTTCAGCATCGCGGCTACCTGCGCTGTCGAAACGGCATACCTGCTGTTGGACGTCTACCTCTCGCATCCGCTGCCTCCGGTCAGCAAGTATGCCAAGTTCCCAAATCGGTTGCTGCTCGATGGGATCGAGGAGCCGGTTCTGTTCTTCTCGAACCACGCGTTTTCGGAGCTGGCACGGTTGAGTGCAGGGGATAAGGAGATGAGGGGGCTGATATATCGGGATGTAGGGGGTGATGTGACGGCGTGGATGCAGATTCGTGATCGATGTTTGGGGTTGTTGGAGGAGAGTAGGCTCTTTGTGGTGAGGCGGGGGCAGGTTGCGACCAAACCGCAGGCGTCGATGCCGTCTACTTCGCAGCCACAGCAGCAGAAAACAAGCGCAAAGCCACCGCAGACCATCTGGGACCAGCTCGCTGCGGGACAAACTGCACCAAAGGACTCCACCCCTCCGTCCACCTCGTCACCGGCCACAGCACCATCCACCTCCACGACCGTCAGCACACCACCACAACAGCAACCCGCTCCGCTGCTCAGCATCCAATCCCTCTCAAAAACCTCGCTCAACCTCATCACACTAGCATGGAAGCTTCTCCCCTCCGACGCGAAACACGTCCTCTTCGGCGCACGTCGCCAGCAAACCCTTCTGGGAGAATCTCCTTCCTCCCTGGCCAGTTCGGTCATCGCCCGCGATGCTCACAGGACCATCTGTGCCGCGCTGACGCTCAAATCCCTTCTCTGTCAGAGTCTCACCGAAGACCCGTACGGAACGGTGTCGAAGGACATCAAGCGTATTTTGACGGCATTCGTCGGGTTGGATAGTGAGATCCGAACGTTGGGGATGCAGTTGGAGGCTCAGGCGAGGGAGATCGATGACAAGCTGGAGAGGGTGGAGGCGGATGGAGATGGTCAAAGCAAGCAAGGGGAGGGGAGGGGGGAGGTGCAGGACGAGTTGAAGAGGGTGTGGACAGCCGGTGGTGCAGGACAGCTGGATCTGTATTTGGTGGCCTCGATGAGGGAGATTCTGAACACGTTTGAGAGGTTCGATCTGGTTCTGGGGGATGAACTGGAGATCAGGTTGGGCGAGTGTTTGCGTTGACGGCAGAAAGGGATCGATTGTTTGTGGTCCAAATGTGACGATGTTGATGAATCCACTGTTGATGGAGACTAGGATTGTGGGTGTGTCTGCGAGTGGTGAGTGATTCTGATCTACGCTCGAGTCCTCTCATGACGAAAACATGGACTTCCGAACTTTCATAACGGACAGGAGCGACGAATCCACACCGCGAAACCACCGACCTCAAGCTCGACATGAAAGCAGCGCTCGCCACTCCGAAGGTCGTTTTCCGCAGTGGCCGACCCACATGGCCCTGTTGACAGCATTCCGACAAAAGCCTCTTCCCACGCTTTTCGCCAACATCGCCGACCCTCGACAGCAATGCGTGAAATTGAGGTGGATCAGATTGATGAGAGAGAGAGAGAGCAAAAGCTAGACCAGGCTTTACGGGGGAAGGACAAGATCGGATCGGATGTGCCGATGTCGCATGCCCGCACTACCTCGCTCGACCCGCAGTGCAGGGTACAGCAATTGCAGTGTAAAGACGCAGCACAGATTCTGTTTGGAGGCAAGTCCCCCCGCGCGATTTCGACTTTTTTTTGCTCGCTACTCCGGATTTTCCGGAAGTGCACCTGGCGAATGCCAACAAGCGAACAAGCGCGTGTTTGCACCGGGGACTAGACGAGAGACACAACACAGAGAGACAGAGAGCAGGGCTCCGACTTCCTTTTCTTTCTTGGCGTCTTTCCACGGAGCAAGTACGTAGCCAGCCGAATCTGAACAAGATGGCGTTCTCGAGGATAAGTCCTAAATCTGTTTTCTTTCCCCACGCTTTTCGGCAGGGAGGAAGCAAGCGAGGCAGCAGCCTTTGTGCCCCTGAGCTTCTGTTTGCAATACCTCGTCTCTCAGCACCCTCTCTCTCTCTCTCCGCAACTCAGCGTGATCAACCCTCGAAGCATCGACGGTTGTACAGCACACTACCGATGCAATTGTTCTCTCTGAGCGATCGGGCCCGCTGCATGGCACCTCTCCACATATCTCAGAGATCCGAGGGTCAGCGCACTGTGCCATCTTGTACCGCACACGCTTGGTTCAGCTGGTGAATGGATCTCGTTCTAGAAACCAGACCCAAAGACAGACAAGGTCAAAGCGCTTTGACCCTCTTCTGGATTGCCGAAACCAATCATCTAGGGAAATCATTTATTTGAATTAAATGGAATATGATTTGGAACAAAAGGCTTCTGCAACGCCTTCTCACGGTGTGCATCGCTGCTGCAACCTAACGCTCGCCTCTGCGCAGCATTGCGCTGGGCCCTTTCGAAGGCTCTCGCTGCCCTTCCACTTTTTCTGAAGCCTCGGTTGTTCCGAAGCTGCGTGACTACCGCACTGAGCCGTGAGTGACCCGTTGGCTGCATGACCAGGTGATTGCCAATTCGCTAAGTCCGCTTCGCACTCAGGTGCATTCCTCGTCACATCGGCTTGCTCGCTCCTCTCTTGCGTCCTCCACGTCGTCTTTCTCGCCACCATCGCTTTCGACAACCACGCCATCCCACCCTCCATCCCTCTACCGGATCTCATTTCGACATCTTTCTGGCTTTCGGCATTCGACCAGATTCGCCGGCGTCTTTCCTCTTTTCGTTTCCACCTCTCGGATTCGGCTCCTCGGAACGGACGCAATCCCCGACAGGACAACATCATCTCGACCGGCGACCAACCTGTCGTTGCACGTCTGCATTCAGGTACCGTTCGTTGCTTCACTTTCTTGCGTCGACGGATTTCCCATCCACCCTCGCTTTCGACTTTCCTGCGATCAGAGGTGGGCTCAACGCTGTTCCTGTCTCACGGCATTCAACAAGGCAACCTCGTTCATCCAAACTAGCGCTCACGGTCTTTACTGACGCCTCTTGCCGGTATCGCTGCCGGTTGTACACTGTCTTGTCCAGCCGAGCGTACAGGCTGGCTCATCTCGATCCGCGGAATCTGTACGCCATTCGTCTCTTTGCTGTCCGTCACTGCTCTTTGGTCTTGCATATAAATGGCGCCTATCTCGATCGCCTGTTAACGATGGATACCTAATCGCGCAAACTTCCGAAGTTTCCTTGCCTCTAATTTGAACAGCACCATCCTGATCAGAAACACACCCTTTCGGACGCAGTAACATTTGCTTCCGCCTTATAGCCGCTTAGGATCTACCGTCGCCTGTCGTGTCCACCCGCAAGCATGCAGGTTCCTCCGCCGCAGGACAACATGATGCGGCCTCAAGGCACTCTCCTCTCGCCCCATCATGGTGACGAGCGTCGACAGCACCAGTTGCAACCGACGCCGCCGCCCTTTGCTCAGAGTGTGCCGCGCACAGACCTGCAAAACCAGCATATGGCTCACATCCCTGGCCAGCAGCAACAGCAACAGTTCCAGCCGCAGATGCAGTCCCATTTCCAGCCGCCAATGACGCCACAGCAGCACAACATGTCGCACCACCCACATCCGTTCACGTTTCAGTCACCACCTTTTGCTTCATCCGATGTCAGCGGCCAACTGTCACAACCATCCTTTTCGCCTTTATCCCAGCCTCCTTCCGTTCCCTCGCAACATGCTCCATCCATGCCGCCGTCTCACTCGCTGTCTCAGGCTGCGCTCGGTCTTGCGGGTCCTTCTTCTCACCAGTTCCCAGCCAGCTCGTCGTCGTTGCAAGAAGCCTTGCAACCGCAAGACTCAGGACAGCAGCTCGCCGACTCGAGACGTTCATATCTCACCACGTTCGAGGACCCAATTGCGGAAGCCTACATCGCTGGCCAGACGTTGGACGAGCCTTTCTACTCTGTTGCTCCGCCGGGAACCGTCTGGCCTACGGATGGGTCCATGCCGCTCGACCTGAATTTGATGGCACCGGTTTCGACGGATCCGAATGACCCTTCTCTCGGCTTCTCAGCAGATCAAGCAGGCTACTTCGATCCATTCGTCTCGGACGTAAGCGGCCCGAATGGTGGTGCGGACGACTTTGATTCCGCTGCTGCCATCTTGGATGACGCCGGCTTCTCACGCTTCACCGAGGTCAAATCGGAGCCCAATGCCGAGGGTGCGGGCTCGACGCAAGATGCTGCAGGGTCAACGTCGGTCCAAGATGTCAACGGAGCCGGCGGGAGTCTGGGTGCATCCGGCTCGGCCTCCGCTTCGCGGGATGGCATCCCACCACGTCGACGCACACGTCGGAGGCAGAACATCAGTTGCGACCAGTGCCGTGCCTCGAAGCGAGGTTGCGACTTTCAGCTACGTCTCGATGCTGATGGGAACGACGTCTCCCACACCACTGCGGGTGCTTTAATCGAGGAGGAGCAGGCTTCTTCGACCGGAAACACTGGTGACAAGCGCAAGATGTCCGATGCTGCGCCCATGGAAGGAGGCAGTGCTTCAGTAAATGGCGGCGTCAATGGAAGTGGCAGCATCAGCAGCGGTGCTAACGGAAACAAGCTGGTCTGCTCCAATTGCCAACGACGAGGCATCGAATGCACCACCAACTTTGCCGATTCCGTCCGAGAGAGCAAGCAAGCCACGCAGACTACCAAGGAAGATGCCACCGGGCAAAGCAACAAGAAGCGCGCTCTTGAAGACGGCTCGTCCGAGTCTGGCCGACGCTCGATCTCCATCCCCAGCGAAGGCAGCAGCTCGCCCGATGCACAGAACCAAGAGGCTCGAGAGCAGCTTCTCAAGGCTTGTCAGAACCGCAACGAGTCGCAAATGTTGGCTACGACGGGCGCCAACGTTCGTTTTGCTCAACGAGCCGACTCTTTGCTCCTCACCACCAATCGCATGCGTCTCTACGTCCACACCGTCGAGCCCAATGCCAATCTGTGGCTCTCGAGAGCCTGTTCGCCGCTTCGGACGGATGGCGATCTCGGCGCCTACATCAAGAGCGCCATCGGCTTGGACGCGCTCGATCTCTCGCAGAGGCTCTGGGCTTCATGGCACGTGGATGCACCGTCGGCGCAGAAAGAGCATCAACCAAACCTCTTCTACCTCGTTTACGGCCTTGATCACCTTGGCGGGGAAATGGGTGTTTGGGGCGAGAAGCCCCAGCAGAATCCACCTGCATCGACGACGTCTCAACACCGCGGGCCCGGCACGGCTCAGGAGGCATCCGCGCAGTTCAACGACATTATTTCCGACCTGATGGGCATGAACCCGGGCGGCTGGCGCAGGTCGAAGCGAGATCTCATGATCGACGAAGCGGTCAAGGCGGCCATGCTCGCTTACGCGTGCCAATTCAGGTTGGACGACGAGATGACGTCGGGCAACGCCGATGCAGTCTCGAGGAAGGCAGCGGACGGCAAGAACTACCGCGATGCACACGACCGTATCGCCACTGCAGCGTGGAAGCGAGCTCGATCGTTGATCTTGCAGCTGGCGCCGCGTCGTTCCTGTCGCATTGCATACGGGTTGTTCTTGTTTGGTGTCACGGCTCCACCTCCCGGTGCTCTGGCTGAAGGAGGATCTCGTTCGGGCGCAGATGCTGCTGAGGATGCGGCCTTCGCACTCGAGACGGCTTCGCGACATCTCGAGTGGTTCGTCAAGCGATGCCGTGACCTTGTCCGCACCGTGGAGAAGGCATCGAAGAACCCTCTGCTGAGCGCAAACCCGCAGGTCAGCCAGCAACGACGCATCGCTACGGATCTCATGGGATTGGCCGAGTCGTTGGGTTGGTTCGGTCTGCTGATCGACACGGTTACGCATGTATCTCAGGGTCGACGCTCTAGCATGCGCGAAGACAATCTGGTGTATCAGTCTTCTGGAATCGGATCTGGCACCGATCCTGGCGTCAAGCATGGACCGGTTCCATCGCCAGGCAGCGACACTGGCTCGTCCGATCGCACAGCCGACGCGCTGTTCGCGATGCAAGATGCACTCAACCTTTTACCCTCGAGACAGGCTCCGCCGGGTGCGTTCCCGGGCACGTCCGAGACATACATGAACGATGATCCAGAGGACGATGGCAGCTTCCCTGTTGATACGGAGATGTCGCGGAGGATCATGGAGCGGGCGGCATGCGCTCGTGATCTCATTCCTGCGCTGTTGAGGAACCCTGGAGCGTTAGCCAATGCCATTCCGTTCGACGTTTTGATCGGTGCCAACGATCCGGATGCTCCACGTGGGCCTGGCGGTGGTCCGATCATCAACATCAACAACCCGGGCGGTGGGCTCAACGAACAGGTCGTCCTGCTCGGCGTCGCGTGGGGCACTGCTGTGGAAGTGTACATCTGGCGACGCGTAGGCGTCCTGCACGCCGCTACCGAGAGGCTGTTGGGCATGACCGATCCGGTGCAGGCGATGGTCGCCGGAGGTGGAAGCATCGTGTCGGAGCGAATCGAAAAGATGGTGATGAACGTGATCGAGGCGATCCGCTTGTTCCACAACATCTTCGACCATCTGATCGCGAGAGCGCTGGACGAGTTCGTCCACTTGTCGAGGCAGGCGAGGACGATGTTGTCTTTCTTTGTGATTCACATCCATTTGGGGGTGTTGCATTTCACGCAGTTGGCGAAGAGGATCGAGCAGAAGGAGTTGGAGTTGATACAGGCGTTCAATGCTGCGCATGGGCAGGCGGGGTCGCCAGCCAAGTCGACGCCGGGGTCGAGTGGTGCGGGTGCCGGGGTGAATATTTCGTTTTCGCCGATGACGGTGAGTACTCCGCAGGAGGTGAAGGTGAAGGTGGCATCGTCGGAGAACGGATCTGTTGGTACGGCGGGGTCGAGCCAGGGATCGCCTCCTTCGCAAACTGCGTCTGGGCAGCAACAACTTCGATCGGTGATGCTACTGTCCTCGGTCGAGCGCCGGTTGATCGGTCGATCCGCTGCACTGGGGATGGCACGCATGGCTTCGCTCATCAACGCCGAATCGGCCAAATTCGAACACGCCACCAAGACCGGTCGTCTCTCCCCCGCCCAACCCACCAAAGACGGCAAGTCGCGCAAGGGGAGTTTCTACGCTCCGCCGCAGTCCGCGCAGGATTTCACGCCCATCGAAGATTCTGCCAACGCCCCCTGGAGACACCCCTACCCAGCCATGGTCGCCGACGTGTTGAAGCTCAGCAGCCAGCAGCTGCACGATGAGATCTGGGACCAGCTCATCGCCGTGCCGAGGAAGGAGGACGAACTGGACCTGTTGATGCGCAACTTCGACGTGTTGTTGGAAGGGATGGGCAGGATGTTGCATGCAGTACCGGGGCTGGGCAGTTATAAGGAGGTGTTGGAGAGTTTGGAGAATGCGAGAGATACGGCTAGGTTTGTCGCTAGTCAGAATGCGTAGGTAATGGATGCACGCCGGGCTCGGATGGGCAGACTGTCGGTGCGCGAGAGTGGGTGAGAGGAATGATATGCGATTTTGACGATGTTTTGCAACAGCGATGCCAGCGTGTGTGAGGGCAAGCGTGGGGGATGTGATCGACAGGTTCGAAGTTGAGATGCAGGTGGTTGTGGATGAGCGGTGCGGGTGAGAGTAAGGGAGGGCGAGGGGTGGAGGGTGTGTGAAATGATGGTAGGCGACCATGATGGGGAGCGCGAGGATTGATGAGTCGCGCGTGTCGATCTGACTCGACGGATGCATGCCGGACTCCCTCAAACTCTGTACAATGGAACGTAGCAGGAAGAGAATAGAGTCTGAGCACAGACACGAGCGGTGAAGATCACGGACAAGACCAGGGACGAAACTTGGTTCAATTGTTCATGAGTCTTCAAATTTGTGCTGCGCGTCGATTGTTCTGCGATGTGCGGATAATGTTCTTGCTCGGTGATGAGGGAGATAGTGGGAAGAGTATGGCGTGCCTGAGGATCGCTTCATCCAAGCAAAGCTTTCCTGCAGGCATCCTGCAGTACATCTGCGACCTGCGATGCCGCTGGTTCTCTCACCATCGTGAAATGGTTCGCGTTTGCTACGGACACGACCTCGATCTCTTCCCCCGGAATCACCTCCTGCCAACCATCCGCGCCATTTGTTCGTGCACGATTCGGACGGAAAAGCCAACGCACTGTCTCGTTGATCTCTTCAATGTCCTCAATGTTACCTGGCAAAGGATCGTCTGCAACAATGTACCATGTCTTAGGAGGAGTTTTCAACGCCTTGGACTGAGTACCGATCATGTTCGGTTTCCAGCCGATCAGGCTGTCGACGGTTGCTTTGAAATGGGCGATGAGTTTGGCGGACATGGTTGGTGGAGCGATGTCTTTGACCTCGGGAGCGCCCTTGATCCAGTCGAGGATGCTCATCGGCAGGGGAGGGTATTGCGGGCTGGGCGAATCGAGGATAAAGAGCCCAGCGACTCTGTCGTTGTCCGCACCGGGGATAGAAGCCAAGTGACGTGCTATTTCGAATGCTGCCATTCCGCCGAAACTCCACCCCCCGAGAAGCCATGGACCGACGGGTTGGATCGTCTCGATGCTCGCAAGGTAGTATTGCGCGATCTGAGCGATGCCACCCGTCCATGCAAAAGCGTCGCCAAGGAAAGGAGAGTTGATCGAGTAGATTGGTCGATCGATGGCAGGCAAAAGCTGATAGATCGTCGCCATACCGGCTCCTTCGGGCAGGAGGAAAAGCGGAGGACCGCTCGCTGACTTTGTGCTATTGCGCAACAGGATCGGATTTTTGATAGGTGGTAGAGTGAAAGCGACAAGGGCGACCGGGGCTGCATCATTGACAGTGGCGCTCGGAGCAGCACCGGTTGCACCGCCGAGTTGGGTCGTTACAAAAGTGTCGATCTCCCGAAGCGAAGTGCAATCCATAAAGAGCGAAGATGGTAGCTCGAACGGCAAGGTTCCCGACAGATTGCCGAGCACAAGCAGTGCCATGAGCGAGTCCATACCAAGATCGGCCAAATTGGCATCGGGACCGATGCTGCCTTCGTCAACACCAAGCTCAGTCTCGATGGTAGAGCGGATGGCCTTGACGGTTTTTTCTACGGCCGAGCTGCCCGATTGCAGTCCTTGCTGAGTTGTCACAGCCGCTCTGCTTAACAATGGTGGCGTCGCTTGTCCACTATGATGCTCTTCCCTATCAACGAAAGCCGTCGCTCCTTGCTCCAACTCCATCTCCTCAGCCTCAGTGCTCTCGCTGGTATGTCCTCGAATGAACTGCAGCAACTCCACAGGACTGTCGTACTCCATGAATAGCGACTGTGGGATGTCAAATCCGAGGTTCAACGTCTCCAACGTAGATATGCAGACCAAAGACATAAGACTATCCAGTCCGAGATCGGCAAATTTCACACTAGGTTTCATTTCCTCGACCCCAATGCCTAGCTCCGAAGCAAGCACGTCCAGCACCTTCGCGTGCAACCCCGCTGCCCGGTCGGTGTGTCTTGTTCGCAGTGTATTTGCAGCCGTCGACGGAGAAGCCCTGATCTGCGGCAAGATTTCCTTCGCCGCCGCAGCATTTTTCGCAGAGTCTGAGATGACCTTTGCTTGGACCTTAGATACAGGCTTCTTTGCCTCGTAGAAACGTTTCGCGAGTCGGAATCTGATCAACTCTCCGACGATCTCATCGGCGTGATCAAGGATGAGTATATCGAGCTCTGGCGCCTCTGCAGTCGGGGGCTTTGGAGATTCAGCTGTCGGGCTGTGTGAGATGTGGACGGTGTATCTGCCCGTGGAGCCTGTCGGCCGTTGAAGGCTTGAGAGCCAGTCGCCACGGATCAAAATTTCGTCGAAGCCTATAAACGTGAGCTTGCCGCCAGCAGAGTTGGTCGTATCGTTGACGAACCAGCGCGCACTCTCCTCTAGGCTGGCAAAGAGTTCGAACAACACGAGGTTGCGTTCAACGAGCAACCAAGAATTGTCTGGTTGGACGGAGTGGCAGACGACAGCCTCACACGATTCACGGTCGGAGTGAGCCCTCTGGATCGACTTTGTAGCGGTCGCGGGATTCGCTTGTAGAGAGATGTAGACGAGCTTGGAAGAGAAGAGCTCGCCTTCATCCTTGAGCCGGGATACCTTCTCTGGCAGCAATTTCTGAAGACACGTCCAGCGTCGAGACATGTCTTCTCGCGAAATTAAGTCATACACGAGCCTGCCGACCAGCGCTCGCGAAGGGTCAGCTGTGACCTCGACTTGACCAGTAATGCGATCCTCCGAGCTCGCAACAATATTGACGCTGATCGACAAGTCGTCGATGTCTGAGATGGACCTGAACTCATCGCGCGCCACCGGAGATTTAAGGCAGAGGAAGGGGTGATCTGCCGAGTCGGCCATCGTTTCCATGGATTGAGAAGCCTCTCTGATGGCCTCTGTCATCAACTCCACGATCACGGCGCCATGGATGTTCTTCTCGAGCAAAGCCGATAGGACAGCAGAGGTCGCGTATGAGCGGTATGTAATTGACCCTTCATCTGCTGACGTTTGTTGATCCAGCAAAGGTTGAGTGGGTGGATCGTAAGTCGTATTGGCAGACGGCTCCACGGACCCGGTGAGACCATCCTCACGGGACGCTGGACGCGGAAGAAGGTTGCGATCGTGGTAGTCCATCCAGTACTGTTGCAGGCTGAAGGAATACGTTGGCAGCGACTTCAACAAGCTGAGAGATCCAAGATGAGGACGGAAGAACTCAATCCATTGGATGGAGTAGCCTTGTTGATGCAAAGCAGCCAGAGTGGAGATCAACGAGGTCTGCAGCCTTTGAGCGTAATCAGTGGATTCAATGAGCTTAGCATGGTCCTCCGATGTGTCAGATGAGACGCTGATCAGAGGTCCGATGCGGACCAAAAAATAGCTTTCGGAAGTATCGTCCGTCTTTGCCGTTGGAAAGAGGCGGTAAATGATGTGCTTCAGCTTCTTGGTGCAGGACACAAAAGACGGATGCACGCCGCAATCGTCGAGGAGCAAAGCTAGGCAGGCCTGCAGCGCAACAAACTGCTTCTCTGCGTCACTGCAAGTCTCGGAATGATCTGCAATGGCGGGCAGGTCCTCGAGATAATCCTGCAGTGCCAGGGTGTGGCTGAAAGCTCCCTTTACGCTGCCATCAGACGAGATTGTCAAGTCTTGCAAATGAAGACCCAACGGCGGAAGATCGGCCTGTGTCTTAGCCTCGGTGATAGCAGCGGTACGTAGACGTCGGATTAGATCGTCCTTATCAGAAGCAACCACACTCAGTCGGAACGGATGATGTGTTCTGCGACAAGTGAGAGAGTAACTCAAGTCGGCAAGATTCACTTCTCGCTGGAGATAGTCGATCAATGCTTGCTTCATCACCTCTGCCGACTCTCGGGTTTTGGCGGAAAGTACGAACGCCCAAGCGGGTACGTCAAGGCTACGAGCAGCTTTGTCGCCTATGGTAGACCGTATATGTAGCTGAGGAGCCTCGTCAAGCGTGGGCTCGCCCACTAGCACCACGCCGTGACAATCGGTGCTGGCAAGGCTGTTGACAAGGATGATGCATCGATCACTGGGATTTCGACCGTGTGGCAGACTTCGCGCTTGTGTTGGCACGAACAAGGGAGATTCGGCACATGTTTTGGCGATACTAAGCTGCAGTTCGGATGGTTCCAAAATCGAGATTTGCCTTGGCACGCTTCCTCGCTGGATCATGAGTACCGCTTTCATGACCGACGCCATTGCGGACACTGCTTCCCCTGCGCCAATGTTCGGTCTGGAACTGGCAACCGAGATTCTGTCTTCGCCTCTGGAGGCCAAATTGGCCTTGTCCTGAGATGAAAGACGGCTGAAGGACTCGAACTCGGCTGCCTCTCCTTGTTGTGTGTGGTGTCCGGCTGCTTCGATGTGCACAAGCCTCGTGACACACACGCCGGCTTCCGACATGACGCGAGCTAGAAAGCGGGACTGACTGGCGCTGTCTTGCTCTTGTTCGTGATTGCGCCCATGATATGTGGTTCTGGCGGCTGGCAGGGTCGCAAGGATTTCATCGCCGTCCCGCAGTGCAGTCGAGCGACGCTTCAGCAGCATGACTCCGCATCCATCGCCTCGGGTCTTCCCGTCGTGTCTAGAAGAGAAGGTTGCATTCGTACCACTGCGAGAGAGAATCCCTTGTTTGTCCATGGCGATGAACATCTGCGGCTGAGTCAGGACATTGACTGCACCGGCAAGAGCGACGTCGCACTGACCGCTCAACAGTGCCCTCCTAGACCACTGGAGCGCTGATACAGCCGAGCATTCTAGCGAATCCACCGAGATGCTGGGCCCCTCCCATTTCAACGAGAAAGACACATGACCTGGGATGAATGCACGGATGTTGCCGGTGATAAAGTAGCTGCCGATGTTCCAACTAGCATTCTCTCGGTAGTCGTCCCAGCTTGCCGCCATGCAGACAGCGATGCGCTTGCCGTCGAAAGAAGAGGGAGAGTTGGCTTCTGCCGAATAGCCTGCACGCTCGAGAGCCTCGTAGGAGCAAAGCATCACCAGACGATGCTGTGGATCGAGCTGCTCCATTTCCTTGGGCGACATGCTGAACAAGCGCGCATCCATCGACTTGACGACGTGCTCGGGCAAGGCGTGCATGTGTCTCGCCAAGGTCTGATTCAATCCTTGGCCATAGTAGGCGTCGATATCGAACAAGTGCTTTGGAATCTCTGCGACGGTCGATCTACCGGTCTCGAGGCATGTCCAAAGCTGGTCGGGGGTTCGTACATCGCCGGGAAAGCGACACGACATCGACACGACCACAACCTCCTCTCCATCCACGTCAGGCTGAGGCGGAAGAGGAACAGTGGGAATCGCTTGCATCAAAGACGAGGATTGCTTCGACAAGAGCATGTTGACGTCAACATGGACGACTGATCCATCGTTGACCGGCATGTTGTTGAGACCTGAGAGGCGCGTCCTGATGTCTGCGCCGAGACTGGCTCCGGGACAGATCGAGACGATAATTCGATCTTCTGAATGCATGTCGCGCGGCAGCTCGGCTTCCAGAGCAACGAGACGATCAATCATAGACTCCCAATCTGCAGGCGCGCAGAGATTGCTGTCAACGAGAATCCGCGAGGCACCACGCAAACTTGTCTGAGAGAGCACACGAGCGCCTGCGGTTTCCCAGACGGTCTTTGAGCTTGGGGGCAACATGGAATCGTCGATCAGACCACGACTTTCGAGGTCCAGCATCACAGAATCCGCTTCGACAGCCAGAGCAGGAGTGTGGTAGGGCGCGAAAAGTTTGAGAGGGAGAGTCTTGCATTTTGAGCCGAGGTGCTCCATTAGGTAGGCTTCGAAGCGCTTCAGCGTTCGCGGGGGTCCTGTGATTGAGATCTGGTTGTGTTGCTTAGCAGAGACAACAAGCGGAAGACACTCGTCCAGCGGCCGTTGCGTTTCAAATCCATTGAACAGTGCGAGACGCAACTCAACCTTTTCGAGGTAGTCGGTGTCTTTGACCGAGATGAAGAAGCTCCAGTATTGGTCGATTGCGTTGTGAAGATCATCTGCCTGAACAATCCGAAGACGGGCGTGAGCCGAACGTAGCCCGATCCAGAAGCAAATGCGGATGGCTCTGAGTGCGTCCTTCGTGTAGTTCCAAATATCGACGTTGCAAGCAGTGGCATCATCCTCTGCCAGTCGACGAAGGCTGAACGCAGGTAGGACGCCGGTGCAATAGCCGAGCAGATGCGAGCGCGGCTGAGTCAGAGCTTTCCAAGCTTGCTTTAATTGCGTTGATGTGCTGAGAGCATGCTGACAACATCGATCGTCATGTACTACGCAGTAGACAGCGACGACGCTTGCGGTTTGAAGGAGGCATAGAAGCACGCCATTGATGACCGGATCCTTGAGCTGATTTCGACGATGGTACTCGACGAGCGCCTTGAGATCGGTAAACGGTTCTATAGGAGGCAGGCAAGCCAGCAGCTCGACCTCGGACCGCCGTTGGCCGATCGGATCCGACCCGTTCGAGGTGGACGTATTGCTGTGACGACTAGCAACGCTTTCGATTTCAGCGCGAACGGCAGCCAAAGCCAAGGTCAGGAAGGTGGAGAGCTCAGGATAGTAGCGTGAGAGAACAAAGATGTTGTCGAAAGCACTCAAAAAGTCCGAGCCCTGTGAGCCAAAGACGATGACCGAAGCACGCGGCAGGAGAGTCGTAGACGGAGTGGCTACCTTGGAGGTGACATTGCTGCTGCCAACGTTGTCGAAGGAGGAGAACGTAGAGTCGGAAGACATGACCGAAGAAGCGATGTGGCCGGCGCCCGCCCTACGACGTTGACAAACCTGGGATTTGGAAATAGATTCTTCGAGGAAACGACGCACAGAAAAGTGATTCAAAGAATAGGCGGCTGATCGTCTGGGTGAACCGATGGTCAGGAGAATGATGCAACCCTATATATGCTCGAGTCCGCAAGCGGCCTGTCTGCTTTGTCAGATGAGCAGTGCAAAGCTCAGTTCACGTGCTGCGCTGCTCTCATCGATCCGAGCCTAGCTGTCTCGCAAATGGCAGCTCAGGCAATGCGTGCGAGAGACCACGACGAGACGGATCGTGGCGGCGTTAAACGAGAGCTGTCGGTGGACGTTCAATTATAGAAGCTGCCCACCGCTGAGCTTTCGGCGTAACCGACAGGCCAATCAGCTGCAGGCTGTCGTTTCGCAAAGACGAAAAATCCAAAAGAGAACCAAAGCCTATTGTTGAAAAAGTTCGCCGTGATAATACAAAGAGCGTGATGTCGACTTGCGATTGTCGGAACTATCCGAGTCCTGTATGTGCAAGACCGTGCTGAGACGAGTGTCGCAGTGCTAGCTTGGGCTTGTGTTGAGAACTCTGGCCTTCGTGGTCAGTTGCGCATCAGTCGGAAGTCGGCTTCTGCGAGGCGTTCTCACGCCTCATTTTTGCGATCCTCTCGCGGATGACTTCGAGACCGGGCAATTCGCCGTTGACGGTGCCAAAGATGGCGTCGCGGACACGGGCGCTTCTAGTGTCGAGCCCTTGACTGCGGTACCACTCGTTTCCACCGGGAGTGATACGGTCGAGGTGAGTTAATCTCTCGGCGCCAGAGTATCTGCTGCTGTCAAGACCGGACGAGGAGCCAGCGCCGGCGGCATGGTCGTGTCGTCTCTGGTACATGGCGATGTCGGCGTCGGTAAAGTGGTCCAGGCCGGCAGCGTTGTTCTGCTGCGACGATGCAGCGCCCTTGTTAGGCTGGGATCGCTTCGCTGAGGATAGGTCGGCTGCGGCGGCTTCCCTCTCTCTGCGTGTGAGGAAGGTCGTGCTGGTAAGGTCCGATGCAAAGGAGTGGATATCCTTGGCGCGGCTAGACGCCAGCTCTTCGGTGTTGCCGAAGGCGGGAACGGAAGCAGCACGCTGTGACTGCTCGCGTGAGAATTCGGACAAGCCTCTGGGAACAAGGTTGGGAGATCGTCGGGAGACTGAGTCTGTGTTGAGGATGGAAGAGTAGATTGTGTTGTCGAGCGCAGACTCCCACGAAGCGGAGGCGGAAGCCGAGCTCTGCCCGGCGGACGTGGCCAGAGAGGATTGCTGAGGGCTCGGAAGGAACGACGGAGTGAGGTGGTACATCTCGACAGCCTTGCGGAGGATGTCATCCTTCTTCCTCTTCTGTCGCCTGTTGTGCTGCTTGGCCCTTGGCGAGCTCGAGGACGACGAAGCGATCGGGTTGGAGGAGGAGCATGCCGGGCTTGTTCGTGAGACGAGGGACGCGCTGCTCTGCGAGAAGGCGCGAGCGGCACCTCTGTGCAGGTTTCGGATAGGAGCCGACATGGCGTGCGAATGTCGCCGTCTGTGATGACTAGGGCGAAGGGAAGAAGCAGATGATGGTTGCGGGAGGGCCGAGTGCAAGGTGTTGCTGGTGCAAACGGCTCCAAGCGAAAAATCGCAGCCTTCCGATTGCGCACTTCTGGCTACCCGACTTTCAGACAATTTCTTCCAAGCATCAGCGTGACATGTGCTTATCTAAGCAGACAGCCTCCTGTTCTCGGACGGCCCACGCTCAATCTACGGATATCAAGTCCAAGTCCCATCGCTAGATATCAGAGCTGCAGAGATCGTCCATGGTATAGAACCTGCACAAGATACCAACGGCAGTGATGAGAGGCGGCACCATGGTACGATGATGGAGACAGTCAAGCCCCTGTCTCAGCTGAGCGAAAAACAGAGCCGGCAAGCTGCAACGGTGAGCAGAGACGACAAGCATGAAATCTGACAATCAATTTCGCAGCAGAACAATTTTCAAGCTCAGCGAAAGGCTCCTCACAACGCAGCGTCGCGTCACCGATGTTGGAGGGGGAAAAATGGAACCAAAACGCCCCTTTCTACAGCATGCCCCTGGAGTTGATGATTGATTTTTGGTGGATTTGGCATGAGAAGTTGAATGTTTTCGACGTCGGCGCGGTGTTGGTCTCGCGCGTCGAGCCGTGTGATTTTTGAAAGTGTGAACCCTGAGAATAACAAATAAAGTGATGGGATTCGAGCACAGCAGCACAGCAGCATGGCACAGCTCAGCACAGCTTTGGTGCAGCGGACATTGTTTGCATGAGCTGCTGCCGAAGCTGCAAGAGTAGCGTAAGTTACCTGCTGTGTGTGCTCGCTTGCTTCTTGCTCTCCACCATCTTGGATCGTATCACAGCCGCTCGATCTACATCGTTGCTCATTCAAGAAGCTTCGCCTCGTCAGGCCCCACCTCGCTACCCGGCCAGGCACGTCAGCCTGAAATCCCACCCTCGAGATGCCGGTTCAAGAACCCGTAGACATGTCGTCCGCCTGGCTCGCTCATGCTCCTCCGCCTCCGCCCTCCACCGCGGTCCGGAAACCACGCAGGAGCTCATCGTACGAACCCTTGTCCTTTCAGAAGGGCAGCACCGTGAACGACTCGCACACACGCGGCGGCTACCTTCCTCCGAGCTCACACTCTCCAGAGCCTCCAAGCTCGCGAAGATCGTCTGTCAGCGACCTCAAGGAGGCAGCTGCTTCGTCCACCACGCCTGCGTCGCCCATCAAACGAGCACGTTCCAAGGTCACCTCTAATCCGGTTCCACCAGCGCCAAGCGCATTCTACAATTATCAGCATCAGCTGCAGCAGCAGCAGCACCAGCAGCTCTATCATCGCCAGCCGTCGCCGCAGCAACAGCAACAGCCACAGCAGTCCGCTCATGTAGCACAGCACTTGCCCTATGCTGCCGCCACAGACCCCGCGTATGCGCAAGCACAACAACCCATACCCACCTCAGTTGCCATGGCACACAGCTACTCGGACCACAACTCGGGGTCTAGCTACGCCCCCTATCCAAGGGAGCGTAGGGACAGTGCTCCCGTCATCTCTTACTCTCAGACAGCACACGCAAGCATCTATGCGCCGCAACCGCCGCCCTCGAACGGTGTTTTACCCGTGCATCCGGCCGCATACGATCCCACCGCCGCTCCAGCACCTGCCTCTGCGTACCCTTACTCTGCCGCTCAGCCACCTGCTAGCTATGCCATGGTGAACGGAGTGCCCGCAACGCATCTTCAGCACGTACCGACGCACTCTGCAGCAATCTCGCCGCATTTGACCCATTACGGCGTGACGCCTCGGCAACAGCAGCAGCCCTGGGTACCAGCGCCCCACGGCCAAGCACCGTACCAGCAGGCGGCATCACCCGCTCAGTATTCTCCCATCACATCGCCACCTCTGCAGCAGCCGTGGGAACATCCTGGTGCAATCGTGACGTCGCCTCAGCAAGCAGGCATCGCCTTTCCTGTCTCGGCGGGTGCACCGATGTCCCCTCTGCCACCGAACGTTCATGTCCCTCCGCCGATGCACGTCAGCTCTCCGCCCACGTCTGCAACATCACCGCAACCACCGTACGTGAGCGAGCTGAGCAGACAATCCACTGCTTCCTCCGTCGGCTCTGTTCGCAGACCACTGCCTCAGCCTACGCGCACCTCGTCCAACCCATCGGCACCTGGCTCTCCCATCACGGGCCCCATCGGTCTCACCAATCGCGCCAGTGTCCGGCGAGACCTTCCTAGACCACCTTCGTCGGGCTCACCCGCGACTGTGTCTGCAGGGTCCAGTTACGTTTCATCCAACCTGGCCAGAGCATCAGATCCCAGCAGTCCAGGATCGCCCGTCGCGGGGACCACGTCCCGTCTCCCCGCCTCGGCGCTGAATCGGACCGAGAGTGTGCGTCTCGCAGCCGAAGCCCTGATGGCCAGAGGCGTTCCGCAAAGACGTCCACTCCGCAGCGCTCTAGCCAGTACCACCTTCTCGCCTCCTCTGCCACCGACAAGGATAGCGGCTAACCCTGAGCTTCCTGCCAGCCAGAGCGAACCCGTCGCACCTTCCAACGGCACTCCCACACGCACCGTGCCGCAGCAGTACACCGATTCGCCCACAACAGCTGTGCAAGCAGCTCATCGAGCCAGCCAAAGCGCCGGCTCTGCACTCAACCGATCCATCGACGCAAGTCCTGTGCGCGCCCGTGCCCTTCCGGAGCCTGTTTCAGCACAAACAGCCGATCACACACCAGCATCGGCTCCAGCGCGTTTCCAGGATGCCCCTGCGCAGGGTCCTGTTCCGGACGTTGTATATGCACAAGCACCACAGTCGCAACCTGCACGTCGTCACGAGCCTGCACGCTATCAAGATACAGTGCAGCTGGTCGACTCGATGGTCAACATGTCGGTGAGCCAGCACGATACCGCACCTGCATCGGCTGCGCCTGGTGCAAGCACGACGGCTCCCAGCATTCCCGTGTTCAGCTTTGATGCTCCGGAAGAGGAGCCGGAGAAGCCCAGGCGTCGACGCGGCAGTAGCGTTTCGCGAGCTGGGCCACCTCCCGGTCAGAAAATGATTCAGCAGGCTCCCGCGTCGGCCGTTGCAATGCCGACGATCGTTTTGCCTGGAGACGACGACGATGGGTCTGCAGTGGGACCCTCGATTCAGATCTCCGGAGCCGACGAAGACGATGCGTCCCCGAACGCAGGGCCGATGATCTCTGTTACTGCGGATGACGATGACGCACGATCGCAGACGAGCACCGGATCAAAGGGCCCTTCGATCTCGGTGTCGTTCTCCGCTGAGCCGTCTGCCAAATCGCAGCGTGCAGGTACAAGTCACTCTGCCTCGACAAATGCTTCTCCGCATCAAGGTTCAGCGGGCAACGGTCGTGTCTCGGCGTCGTCCGTGGGCAGCGGAGCCGGGTGTCAAGGGTGTCGCAAGTGGATCGCGGGGAAAGTGGTCCATGCGCTCGGCACTACCTACCACCCAGGATGTTTCGTTTGCGCTCACTGTTCCGAAGGACTCGAACACGTTGCCTTCTACGAGCACGATGGTCTACCCTATTGCCACTTCGACTACCACGAACTCTTCTCGAAACGGTGTTTCCACTGTCGTACGCCGATCGTCGACGAACGGTACATCACGGTGTCGGACGAAGAGCTGACTGGGTCGGATGGGGAGACCCACGAACGGTGCTACCACGAGCTGCACTTCTTCTGCGCCAACTGTGGCGATCCTTTCCTCGACCCCAAAGCCGCAGGTTCAGCAGCAGGCAGCGATCCCGCTCTGATGACCGCCGACGAGAACGGAAAAGTCAAACACGGTGGGATGGAGTTCATAGTGCACAAGGGGTATCCGTATTGCGAAAAGTGCCATGTGAACCTGCACAAGCCGAGGTGTAAGGGTTGCAAGAAGCCGGTACTGGGGGATCTGATTAGTGCGTTGGGGGGTAAGTGGCATCCGGAGTGTTTTACGTGTAGTAGGTGCGAGAGGGTTTTTGAGGATACGGTGTTTTTCGTCAAGGATGGAAGGCCGTATGATGAGGGGTGTTACAAGGTGTTGCTCAGGAACATGGTGTGAAGGAGTGGGCAGAAAATTTGTATTTCTAGTGATAGCAATGGTAGACGACGATATGTTATTGTGAGGGAGAGGATTTGGTCAAACCGTACATTCGAAGTAACTTTTCAGCTGCACCTTGATCTTCGTCCACGCCTCTCAGTGGTGCAGGAGATCCGAACAGCGGGTCCACTCCTGAACCCTGTTTCGGGAAGGCAATGACGTCTCTGATGCTTTCCGTTCCACAGAGGATGGCCATGAGACGATCGAAACCCAACGCGATACCAGCGTGAGGTGGAGCCCCACAGTCCAAAGCATGCAGCAGATGGGAGAATCTCGCCTGTTCGGAATAATCGAGTTGGAGGATTTCGGAAAAGACGTGTTGCTGATGTTTGCGCGAGTGGATTCGAACGGAGCCGCCGCCGATCTCTTGACCGTTGAGAACGAGGTCGTAGTGCTGACCTCGGATGGAGGCGATGCTGGAAGGGTTGTGGGCAGAGGAGAGGAGGAGTGGGATATCGGAGGCTACGGGAGCGGTGAATGGATGGTGTGATGACTGCCATCGTGTGGAAGCAGTGGTGGACGAGGAGGAGGAGAGGGAGGAGAGGAGGTTCTTGTCGTCATCAGCGAGTGTGAAGAGGGGGAACTCGGTGATCCAGGTGAACGCGTCGGCGTCAAGAGTGAGCAGGCTCTTGGAGCATAGAGCGGCGGCGAGAAGCTTGCGTACATCTCCTAATGCGGTGCTGCCACCCTCTGGTGGATTCGGTCGCATCGAGACAAACACATCGACCGGCTCGGATGAGTCCGCCTCTCGCGACTCAGACTCGATCGCAATAAGCAAGGTCTGAGCGAGGTGTTCGACGTCGACTTCGGAAGCGGGAAGATCGTTCTCGAATTCCTGACCGAGGAACAAACGCGTCAAGTTGCTCTTCTTGAGCAGCAGCGCGGCTAACTCGTGAACGTTGTCCTTTGATGAGATGCGGAAGCGTTCGACTTTGCCTTTGAAGGGCGAGAGGAGGCTTTCGAGTTCCTTTTTGGACAGCGAACCGGCGGCGTGATGCTGGTACGGCAAGATCTCGAGGCTAACACGCGATGCGTCAAGATCGGGAAGCTCTGGCTCAGACGAAGATCTGAAGCCTGCAGAGATGTCGTGAAGGGAAAGAGCGTATCGTAGGTCGGGCTTATCTGATCCGTAGCGCGTCATGGCTGTCCAGTAGGACATGACAGGGAAGCGATCGGGCAAGGCGCCTCTGCCGGCAGCCTCCCAAATGCGCTTGACCAGGCCTTGGATGACGTCGCGAACCTGGTGACCGCCGATCCTCCACTGACCTGAAGCATCGCGAGGATCGGCATGTTCGTGCGCTGCATGTGACGATGGCTGCTGTGCCTCTGCAGCCGTTTCAGGTCCACCACTGACAAAGCCCATCTCGAGGTCGATCTGAGTGAACTCGGGTTGACGATCCTTGCGTCCGTCTTCATCGCGGAAACACTTTGCGATTTGGAAGTACTTGTCAGTGACTCCGGATGCTATCAAGAGCTGTTTCGGCTGCTGCGGGGATTGTGGTAGGGCGTAAAAGGAGGGTTCTGCCGAGTTGTTGGCAGTAGACGAGGTTCGAGTGGGAACAAGGAATTCGCGAGCGCCTTCGGGCGTGGATCTGAGAAGTATGGGAGTTTCGATCTCGAGGAATCCGTGGTCATAGAGATGGTTCCTGACTGCATGTGTGATACGACTGCGCAGCCGGATATTTCGGGCGAGCGATGGACGTCGCAAATCCAGATATCTGTACCGAGCACGAAGCTCGCTCGAGACGCTGTATGCATGAACGGAGTCGGATGGCTGGAAGGGCAGATCTTTCGTAGCTGGATTGAGGAGCATGAAGCTATCGGGTAGGATCTCTATCGCGCCGGTGGACTGATCTGCCTTGGAATCTTGCTTTGGTCGCAAAGCCACTGTTCCACTGATCAGGATGGCGCTCTGCAAGGGTATCGAAGAGAGATGGTCGAGGAGATTGGGGCATGCGTCTGTTGGTTGTACTTTGAGCTGAACACTACCGGTGTGGTCGAAGAGGGTGAAGAAGCCGAGCTGCTTCGACACTTGTCGAGAGGACCGCAGCCAGCCGGTGAGAACGACCTGCTGCTGATCGTGCGAGGCCCTCAGCTCACCGCAGGTATGTGTGCGTGTCGGGAAGGCACCGTAATGCGCATCATTGTTTGCGCTATTCGTTGATACCTCGAAATGCGCTGGGGATTGACGCCGTGGACACGATGAGAACGGTCTTGAAGGTCCTGCCACAGCGGAAGACGTTGCCTGTGTGCGAAAGTGTGTTTGGGATGCTTCTGTTGATCGGGCACAGCGAGGGATGCCGCCGCAACACGGGAGGTAGGCCGAGGCTGCGTTGCGATGCGCTCGGAGGGCGCGCAGACCGCTTGATCTGGTTGCAGGTGTGAACATGTGGGATGGCGATGATGAGGGATAAGGAAGAGGACCCTGCACTACTGAGCAGCAAGTGGAGCAGGACAAGGCGAGGAGGAAGGCTGTCAAAAAGGTCGCATTTCTTCTTGGCGGAGAGGGGATCGGGTGAATCGGGGAGGGCTATCTAGAGATGTGACGCGGGAGAAGTGCCAAAGTGGAAAAGAACGTTAAATTGAGGAGAAAGCGAAAGCGCGTCTTTGAGTGTCGCGGCGAGCGATGGATTTCACAGAGTGTTTGAGAAGCAATTGCTTCATTCCTTCGTGCTTTGGTTGCGCTTCTCATCCTTCGATCGCACACATCACCAACCGTATCGGCTATCCGCACCTCGCTCCCATCCTTCGACACCACATCGGTCGCACGAGAGGCCCAGATACTATCAGCGACGCCGCCGCGAATCTGGGACTGCTGCCTCGCCGTCGATCGGTCTCGAGCTCGCACCAGATACGAACCGACATAATGGACCGTCCACGTCGGTCCGCGCGCCAATCGACATCGGCACACCAGTCTCCGGCGCCCGCATCGATACCATCCGCATCTGCTGCTTCCTCTTCACACGCGTCCGTCGTTACACCCGCAGCTATGGCCAATGGCGTTTCAAGCTCTTCGCGCTACGAAGCTACATCCTATGCTTCGCCCGTTGCGTATCCACAACCATCAGCACAACGTCCGCAGTTCCATCAAACGCCCTCCGCTTCGAGCAGCGGCTTGATACAAGGTCAACACCAACACCTGACCATGCATCCTTCACAACCCTCCTTTGGAGCATCTGTCAACATACCAGCAGAGCCGCAGGTCATAAGCCAATTGCAATTGCAAGCGCTCCCACATACTCACTTCATGGGTCGAGGTTCCGCTCCTATAGCTCCGGGCACCCCTTCTGCCCCGCTCAGACCATGCGGTACCGCAGCATCCGCTCCCACCATCCCGCAGGCAATGTACAGCACCTTCCCCGCGCGCATCAAGGCCGGAACCACAAACCTCCTCCAGTCCATGCCTCAATCCGAATGGTACGACCCATCCGGCAAACCTCTTGATCCCTTCAGCACGCCAGGCCATGACCCTTCCGGTGGTTCCACACCCTATCGCTCCTCCCGCGCCAGTGGGCGCAGCAGACGTGCCGCTGCCGGCTTCATTCGCTATGCCGAAGCAGGCAGCTCAGACGACGAGTTTGAAGAGGAAGTACCAACCGAGGATGAGGCTGGCTCGCGAGGTCTCAAGCGAGGTCTCGAAGACGATGCCGAACAGGACTCCTCCCGCGCCTATCTCGGTCTGCCACCACCAGCTTCCAAAATGATCGCAAAGCGTGTCTTCCACCGCACAAACCACGTCTACCACACCGACGACGATCTCGCGCGTCAAGCAGGCAAGAGCGAAATCTTGGTCCCCATCAAGATCGATCTCGAGGCCGAGCAGTATCGCATCAAAGACTCTTTCACCTGGAACATGAACGAGCGCCTCATCTCTCCCCACCACTTTGCCAAGCTTCTGCTCGAAGATCTCGATATCCCCGTCGAGCCCTACGCTACCCAGATCATGAACATGATCAACCAGCAGATCGACGATGCCACTGGTGTCGCCGACATCGAGATGGAGCCTGCCGCGGGAGGAGTCTGGGCATCTGCACGCTTCGCCTCCAAACAAGGCGAATTGGCGCTCCCCGAGTCCGAACGCAGCCAGTACGACCCAGACGAAGAGGCCACAAAGGAGGGGCGTCCATGGAACTGGGGCTTGGAACGAAGCGATGAAGAGCAGCGACGATGGCGCAAACAGATGGCGAAACGACTCGACGCCGGTCAAGGCCTCGGTGACTTTGAAGACGATCTTCGCGTCATTGTTGATTACGAAGTCCAAATACTGCGACACATGCTCCGCGATCGACTCGAATGGGATCTCTGTTCTCCTCTCACGCCCGAATCCTTCGCAAGGAAGCTCTGCGACGATCTCGGATTGTCCGGTGAAGCACAAGCGCTCATCGCCAACAGCGTACGCGAACAGCTCATCAATCACAAGCGTGCCGCCCTCGAGTTGCAGCTAGGGGGCAGCGGAAGGGTGTTGAAGGACAAGGAGAAGGAGATCGAGGCTGCCTGGGCCGAATTGCATGCCGAGAAGCTCGAGAAGCAGCGCAAGAAGCTCGAGCGTGGTGATTCCGAGTCGCAGATGCCGTCGGCTGATGGTACGGGTGTCAACACGACGCGCGAGCCGTCGGTTCAGCCCGCTGCAGTCGCGGATGATGGAGAAGATCAAAAGTCGACGATAGCTGCTCAAGAGGGAGTGGCGAGTGCGACGGACGACGCTAAGGAGACCACTGAAGCGGCAACACCAGCTCGAGGCGAAGACGGCGATGACGACGAAGAAGATGTCGAGACGTTGCACCTCACCGCCACCGCCACTGCTGCACCTACGCGCGAAGGCACCTCTACGCCCGCCATCCAACCCACACCCGTCGTCTCGACCGCGCCCATCCCCGCCACGCGTTCCTCGGCGCGCATCTCCAACATGCAATCCGACGCCACTCCCGGCACTTCCACCCCCCTCGCTTCCGCCCCCGCCTCTGCCCCCGAACCCGCACTGAGCGCATCGCAACGTCTCCACAATGCCACCTATACGGTGAGGGAGATCCTCTCGCGCGGCCCACGACCGCTCGACGGCATCTGGCGCGATTGGCTCGAATCACGCGAATTCGGTCCGCTGCTGGAACGACTCAACGACGACGATCTCGAGAAGTTGGAGGAGGCCAACATCAGGGCGTCTAGGCGCAACAGAAGGGAGGCTGCCAGAAGTGGTGGTAGGAGAAGACGATGAGCGGATCGCAACTATGCCAGGTTGAAAAAGAGATGCTCAATGCAAAGCCCATGAGAAAAACAAAGCCACGAATGCGGAATGATGAGGTTGCTTGTTGAACCGCCATGCAAGTTTGTGATCGAACTGAAGTGGGTGACCACAGTCTTTTGACAGGTGCACTGCGTGTGGAGAAGATCATTGTTTGTTCGGGTTCACATTAGATTATGGTTTGTTGGGCATGGGGGGAATAACATGAGCATTCGAGGACTACAACATCTCCCCTGTGTTTTCGTCTTCAACACCAATCTCCCTGCTTCTTCACCTTGTGTTTCCTTGTGTTGAGGGGTATTAACGACCACCGAAACCGGCACCGCTACCCTTGGACGTAGTGTTTTGACCCTGCTTAGCGTCGTTCGTCGTGCTGTAGGCTTCCTTCTGGCTAGCCGCCTGCAACTGACCGCGTTCCAAGATGTGCGTAACGACGTCGACGTCCTTGTGCGAATCGAAGACGGTTTCGAGCTGCTGTTTTGACGGTCTACCCATGATCCCCTGAGCACCGGTTCCGGTGTGGAAAACATCGAACGAGTCGACCACATCCGCGAGAGGGATGGTCTTGTCACCTTTGATCCAGGCCTTGTACTCCTCGGGGTTGACGATGACCATGAATTCGTCGGTGGATTGCGAGTCGGGTTTGTAGACTACTTTGTGGAATTGCTTCATGGTTGCGAAAAAAACGAGAAAAGGTTTTGCGGAGAGGATGTAAATAGAAAGAGAGAGTGAAAGGAAGTGGTTGTCAATGTCGAGGGTGTTTGAATGTGAGTTGTGATGGTGATGGTGATGGAGGATGGAAAGCGGGAAAGAGAGGGAAGGGTTAAATAGAGCTTGGCTTGGGGCTGAGTTGACAAGCCTGTCTGGAACGAGGCACATGACGATGGAAACCGCGCTGGATGTGGTCCGTTCGCCTTTTCCCTTGCCAACTCTAACTCCACATTTTTGGCGACACACAAGGGTGACGAGCACTCACGCGACCCACAACTCGCTCTCTTAGGCATCTCATCTGTGTTTGAAATTAGCTGCAAGACGTTACGCTTTCGTGCAGCAACAATCCCAAACAAACCAGCTCTCGGTTGCCTCTCCCTCAAGCCGCCAGGAGAGTATGCTCTAAAGCGAGTAAGTGATCGTCAACCCCGTTTCGGCATTGCCGAACGACGAAACCCTGTGGAATACGTCGGGAGAGCTTTATTGCTCTAGGTCCGAAACTCGCTGTCTTTGCCCCATCCGAATGTTGTACCGTAGCGCCATCCAATCCAGGCTTGACAATGTCAACTCGAAGTCAGCTGCTTCCTTCTTCCACATCACCCTCGCGGAACCCTGATCCTCGTGTAGTGTGCAAGCCAATGCAACGACAATTGTCGACGGCGATGTGAACCAATGAGCGAGCCGCTCTGCAACAATTGACGCAGTGTCATTCGACCGGCAGCACGCGCAGTGACGTTGTGTTTTTTTTCGGAATGACCTGCGTCGAACCCTTTTTTCTGCTTTTAAAGGGCCTTTCGATTGGCTTCTTCTCTTGCAACACCTTCTCGTGCGTTAACACTTACTCCGCCACTAACATCATCCTCGACGCCTTCATCTTGTGTCACTCGACACGCACACCGGACTTGAATGTGAATCGAACAGGGGGGGTATATCATTGACAAACAGACGAACACGACAAGTACTTGAGAGAGCAACAGAAGAACCATGCATTAGTCGATGCTGAGCTTGGACGAGGATCTCCTATGCCTACTCGAACCACCTTCCTTTCCACCATCGGCATTCTCCTTATCACCCACTTCATCTCCATCTCGATTCTTGCCCTCGTTCTTCTTGGTCGGACTAGCAAATGGATCCGGACCGGCATCGTACACCCCACTGACGCGTCTCGACGCAGTACCCATGGCAGCCGCTTTACTCAACGGACCGTTGACGTCCTCCTCGATGATGCTGAGTACCTGTCGCAATCGACCTGCTGCGGTCGCTTCTGCAGCTGCATCGTTTCCCGCCTCATCCGATGAGACGATCTCTGGTGTCGGTTTCGTTTCAGAAGGTGCGGTAGGTTCGCGGGAAAGCAAGTCTTCGAAATCCATGCTTTCCGATCCAAACAGTCCACCAGTCGCGGTGTTCGGCGAATCGCTGGTAACCGCGGTCGTCGCTTCCGAGACAGACGACAAGCCGAGCAGCGAATCGCGTGCCAAGTGAGTCGGACCGTTGAGTGCCGCCGGTTTGCTGCTGGAACGTGCTTTGGGCGTTGCGGCGGAAGACCCGCTCGAAGCAGCTTTGTTCTTCGGCGTCGAGGCCGATGGTAGCTCATCACCACCACCAGCGCGGGTAGGTGTGTTGCTGGAAACCTTCACCCCTGCTCTCGTCAAACCTTTGCTCGGTGTGGACGGAGACATGATGTTTGCCGGCAACACGGTTTTCCCACCCTCTTCGCCCACATCTACATCCGTGGCGCTAGTATCGTTCCCCCCGGTCGTCGTCGCTGCCTCGGTACTCGTGTTGTGCAGACTATTCGCACCCGAACTGATCAACGAGATCGGAGGCAAAATACTGAAAATCTCCCCATCCGTTTTCGCAGGACCATAGCTTCCAAATGGATCCGGGATCGTCGCCAACATGGACTCCAACACAGGATCGTTCAACCCTTTACTGCTGATCCTCTCGCTGATCTCGATCTGCGACCTCACCACCAACGCAACCTTGCTCTCGATAAACTGCCAAACCTCCTGCTCCGCCTCCAACACCTCGATGTAGTAGCTCGCTTTGAGGTCGTCGATCGCATCCACGTGGGACTGAAGTTCAGCCAAAGCTCGACGGAACGAGTTGAGATCGCGTTCCTTTTTCCTACCGGCACGGTTGTTGCGTGCTTCGGCTTCCTTGAGTTCCTTGGATTTCTGGGAGACCGCCTTGTCGTGCGAAACTTGGCGGTCTGTGCAGGCGGAACGGTAGGTGTCGTAGTGGGAGAGGAGCGGGATGGAGAAATCCTTCCAGAAGGTGTCGCAGAGGAGTTGGAGGTAGTTGCTCTTGAGGAAGTGGAGACCGGAGGCAGCTTGCAGACCGGGGCCGGATTCGTGGGCTCCCTTGACGCGAGCGCAGGCTTCGAGCGAGCAGGCAAAGTCGGAAGAGGCTTTGGCCATGGACAGCATGGTCGAGGTGTAGGCCTTGGCCGAGGCGAGCAGCGATTCGTAGGCAGAGAGCGAGGTTCGCAGATCGGCGCGGGTGATCAAAACCGAAGGTCGGGAGGGAAAGTCGAGCGAGGCACGGGTTGTTGTTGAGAGTGATGGCGACGGTGGAGCTGCTGGGAAAGGGCTGTTTGCATCGTGATGACGCATTGGCATCTGTAGAGAGCGTATGGAGTGTGGTCGAGGCATGGTGATGTGTGGTAGAGGGAAGCTGTGCTCCTGCAGCCTGCGATGGAGTCGAGATGGTGGTGGCAGACGATCAAGAAGGAGGACAGGGACGAGTGTCGAGTGTTGCTCTTCGGCTGTGTTGACAGCGGAAAGCGAAACAAACACGCATTTACCATAATTTACCGGTCAAAATTAACGCGTGCGTGGGGTCTCTTTCGTTTCTGTTTCGGTCAAGCCGAGCCGCGGTGTCCTGCCAGAATCAAAGCTTGTTGAGAAAGGGGCTTATTCCAGAAAGGCACAAGCGGTTGCTTCGGATCTTTGCTGCTGCCTCTGCCTCGGTGTGCGTCGCTGTCGGGCCTGGCTGTTCCTCAATTCGGTATCGCATCCCAAGGCTGCTGTCGCTCATGCCAGTTGGTGAAAGGTGAGCCAGACGAACACCGTCCGAGACTGTTCCGAGAGATATGATGGGACCCACGTGCGCACGTCGCTCTCTGACTTTTCCCAGACAGCAAAACTTCACCCAGGGACTGCGTGTATTGCCGCAATATCCCAGTTCAACCGACCATCGTACATCGAATGCTCGGCATCCAACTAGAGTCGGATCGCTTTGCCTCTGCATCTACGAGGTTGAAGCGCTGTGCATACTTATCCGCGGCGATATTTATATCAATCCCTGCTTCTACAGCTGCACTCCGTCTTGAGCCGCATACCTTTTTTTCGATTTTCGGATTTCATGAACTTTGTTTTGTGGAATTATGGGTGCGCACGTTCGTTTTTCTGTCTCAAATTTGTGTGTGAAGACGACATCGAGACATCTTCTCACAAACTCCACTTCTTATCATCATCACCATCGAAGCTTGTCCCTCCCCCGTTTACGCTCGCCAAAGATGGAGAGGATCCAGCTAGGCGTAGCCGCCATGGACCGCAAGGCCCGCAGCAAACCCATGCAGAACATCCTCAACCGTCTCATCAGCACCAAGGAATTCGACGTCACCATCTTTGGCGAAAAAGTCATCCTCGACGAACCCGTGCAAGATTGGCCCATCGTCGACGTCCTCATCTCATTCTTCTCCACTGGTTTCCCGCTCGACAAGGCCATCTCCTATGCTGATCTGCGCAAGCCTGTGCTCGTCAACGATCTGCGTCTCCAGCAGGTGCTGTGGGATCGTAGAGCCGTGCTGGCCATCTTGGATAGTGTAGGTGTGCCGACGCCGAGGAGGTTGGAGGTGGATAGGGATGGCGGCCCGGATTTGGAGGATGTGATCATCGAAGATCTGAAGCAGAGGGTGGGCGCGGATTTGAGGAAGGATAGAGAGCCCAAGGAGTGTAAGATGGACGGCTACGATCACTTGGTCATCGGCGAGAGGAAGATTGCAAAGCCGTTCGTGGAGAAACCAGTTTCGGGCGAGGATCACAACATCCACATCTATTTCCCCAAAAACAGAGGCGGTGGTGCCAGGAGGTTGTTCCGCAAAGTAGGCAACAAGTCGTCCGAGTACGATCCCAATCTCGTCGAACCTCGAACCGACGGTTCCTACATCTACGAAGAGTTTATGGACGTCGACAACGCCGAGGACATCAAGGTCTACACCATCGGTCCACACTTTGTCCACGCCGAAACCCGAAAGTCGCCCGTCGTCGACGGCGTCGTCAAGCGAAACCCGGACGGCAAGGAGATCCGATACATCACCAAGCTCAGCGACGAGGAGATCAAGATGGCCACATCCATTTCGAAAGCCTTCAAGCAAAACATCTGCGGCTTCGATCTGCTCCGGGTCGGAGGCAAGAGCTACGTCATCGACGTCAACGGCTGGAGCTTCGTCAAGGGCAACGACTTCTATTACGACAAGTGCGCAGAGATCCTCAGTCGATTCTGTAAGAACAACGTCGTCCGAAGACCTATCGGAAGCTCTGGGAGCGGGATGGGAAGTTCGAGTCCTCGCGAACGCGAGAGGTCCGCTTGGAATTTGAAAGCCTCCGTCACTGTGTTCCGTCACGGCGATCGAACTCCGAAACAGAAACTCAAACGATCCTTCAAACCCTCCGAGACATGGGCTGCCCCGCTGATCGCGCTGCTCCAAGGTCGACGCGAGGAGATCATCCTGCGCACGCAGCTCGATCTCGTCTCCACCGCCGCCTCGGAAGCTCTCTCCCTCCCCGGCGCCAACACCTCGGATCTCGAACTCATCATCCAACTCATCAACCGCAAGAAGGACCTACCCGGTACCAAAGTCCAGATCAAGCCCAGCTTCGACAAGGACTCCGGCGACCTCTCCAAGATGCAACTCATCATCAAATGGGGCGGTGAGTTCTCCCACGCCGCTCGTCACCAAGCCAAGGATTTCGGCAACAACATGCGCAAGGATATGATCATCATGAACGCCGATGCGCTGTCCAACTGCACCGTCTACACTTCGAGCGAGAGGAGGGTCACCGCTAGCGCCGAGATCTTCGCCGCTGCGTTTCTGGACGAATCGAGCGGGGAAAAGGAGATGATTATACGCAAGGATTTGTTGGACGACAGCAATGCGGCCAAGGATGTGATGGATGTGGTCAAGAAGAAGTTGAAGGCGTCCTTGAGGCCGGATTCTCCCGAAGCGGGGAACGTGCCGGATGATTGGCCGGAGGATCTGCCGCCACCGGCGAGGTTGGCGCTGGACATCGCTGCGTTGCTGGGCAAGTTGAGGGAGGTGATGAGGTCGAACTACAAGACGTTGGGTAAAGGGATCGATCGTGTTCAGACGAGATGGTGTACGCACGAGACACCTGGGCTCTTCCGAGAACGCTGGGAGAAGCTGTTCAACGACTTTGAGGAGGATCCACACGATCCATCGCGATCGAGCGAACTGTACGACATGTTGAGCCACGATGGCCTGCACAATCGACAGTTCATCGAGACCGTCTTTTCGGATCCCGCGGTCCAGGATTCGGATCTGGACAAGAAGCTGGTGCATCTTCACGAGCTGTATCGGAAAGCGTTGGCGTTGTTTTCGTTCATCTGTCCGAGGGAGTACGGTATCACGGATTCGGAGAAGGAAGAGATTGGGTTCCTGACCAGCATGCCTCTGCTCAAGAACATTGTGGAAGATCTCAAAGGAGCCAAGGAGTCGAAGGGTATTTGCAGTTTATACTTTACCAAGGAGTCTCACATCCATACTTTGCTCAACTTGGTTCTCGCTAGCGAACTCAACGTGGTCATGCCCAAGATCCCTGCTTTGGATTACTTCGCTTCGATCACGTTCGAAGTGTACGAACGCAACTCCCCCACCCCCCTCACCACGACAAGCTCGAACAACAGCTCCGCCTCAAGCATCGCTTCCACCACCTCGGTGCAGCAACAGTACTCGCTCCTGATCAGCGTCTCCGAGGGAGCACACTCTTCCAACATCCTCTCGATCAACCTCGACGCCCGACACGCCCTCACCCCGCTCCCCCGACGTCCGCTCACCACACACATGGACTTCGACGACGCCATGGCCAAACTCGAAGCCCACTCGAGCAGAGACAGCAGGGTAGACAGAGGTATGGTCGAAGGATCTACCGTATTCTTCGGTCAGGACGATCCGGATCGTCAGTTTATGCCGATCAAGAATCGCAGGGATAGTGTGGATACCGATCAGAGTTCGGTTCGTCACGCCTGATAGCATTGTCAAACGTGTATTGTAGTAGAATAGTCAATCAGATTGGAGGAATTCCGGAGTGTATAGAAATACATGCATTTGTCCGCTAGATCAGCCGAGGAATTGTCTCGTTTAGAGGTCCTTGGCTTCCTTCTTCAACTTTCCGAACTTGGCGGAGCCGTAGTTCTGCCACCAGATGCTGGCGTTGAGGTAAGTGGCGTAGACCATCCAGCCGACGTAAGGGACGGCCAACCAACCAGCGGTCTCGTCGACATCCTTGACGGTGTTAGCCCAGAGACCTACGGTACCGGTGAGAGCGCCGATGTTGACGAGGGCCAGACCGACGTTACCAGCGCCGAAGAAGAGGGGCGACCAGAGGGCGTTGAGACCGAGCTGGATCCAGTAGAGCGAGAGGGCCTTCTTGGCGGTGTCGCGGCCGAGACCGGGAGGGGTGCGGTCGAGAGCCTTGACGGTCAAGTGGGAAGCCCAACCCATGGAGGCGTAGAGCGCAGGCCAGACGATACCATAGTAGCTCGAGGGAGGGTTGAACGAGGGCTTCTTGAGCGACTTGTACCAGACGGAGTCGGCAGAGTAGTTGGACGACTTGGTGGCAAAGCCGTTGACGACGCCGACCGCAACGGGGATTCCGACGGCGAGGATCGGGTTGCGAGGCTGTACGACAGAAAGTGGAGATTTGTGCGAGAGGAAGGGTCAGCATGAGATTATTGAGAAGGGGAGGATGAGACGATGCTAAGACTTACAATGTCAATGAGGAGTCCTGGAAGGTTAGACATGTTTGCGATGGTTTGATCTCGAATGGAGAAGAGTCTCAGGTTGTGGTTGGATGGAAAGGAGCATCAGGTGCAATCGCGTTGGCTCTAGACGGCCCGCTATTTGTAATCCAACCGGGGGACAGGCAGAGGACAGAGCTTCACGGGCTGCCACGATCCAGGGATGCAGCCAGCAAAGGATCAAGCCAGGGCTTGAATCAGGGTCACAGCGAGACATGGCCCGCGCAGATCATCAGCATCGAGAGCCACATTTTTCACAACTGGCGCGTCTGTGCTGTGTGTGTGTGTGGAGGCATCCAACGCAGCAACGCAACTCGGGGCACGTTGACAGAGGGAAACTGCCCGAAATCTGCAAGGCGTGCGGACACGTTGTGTTGGTCTGCATTTTCCGAACGAAGCACGGCGCGAGGTCAGGCCTGTAGACAGCGCAGACTGATGTCATGAAATCCGGTCACGGAGAGAGCCGCACAGACTCGTCTTTTTTGCGCCATGCTAGCTACCGGCCGAAGCAATGTCTTCGAGACCAAACAACCTGGTTGCAACACTCGCGACCATGTGGTCTTAAGCAGTCACTGACAACATTGGGAACCAGCTGGTATCATTGGATCGACGTTTGCGTTGATCGACAATTGCAAGTACGAGTGTTTCGACAGAGGATCGACCAATGCTGAGTGAGCATTCTAGCATGGTGCAGCGCTGCTGCCCCAGCCATCAGTATTTCAAGTACATCTTTTTCGGTTTGAATTTCCAAGTACTTTTTTTCCACAATGGCTCAACTCGAGTCCAAGAAACTGAGCTTCGGAAGCGCTTATCTGGACGCAGGGTCCACCAAAGACGGCGCTTTCCAAGGGCAGCTGTGCTCGGACCTGTCAGCTCGTTGCTCTAAGTGGGTATCTCTCCCTCTCCCTACCAACACCAAAACACCCTTTTTCTCTGCATTTGAGTTCTCAAGACCAGTCTCGTGATCATCGCAAGTAGCTCTACTGCTACACCAAGTCCACATTCGACCCGCCTGAGCGTCGTTGTGAGCAGGCATCACCCGTCGCTACCATCAACGTTGTTCGAACGAGCGACGTCCGCTCTACGTCGCCTCAGAATCGCTGCAGCCCACTCTACCGTGCATGATCCATACGCCACTGTCTACCGGACACACGTCAAGCGATAGCAACATCTGCATCTCGTAGCATCATAGAGATTTTTCACCAGCCTCAAATCAAACCATCATGGCACCGTCAACCTCCTCCTCGTCAGCTGCCCAGATGGAGCATTGCTACTACTGTTTCATGGTCATCGAGCAACGTTTCAATCACGGACCCAGCCAACAACCTACTCCTCCTTTCAAAGACGATGACCAAGAGTACCCGCTCTTTGTCACCTGGAACATCTTTCCGCACAACCCTCGCAAGTCTTCCTCTTCCCCAACGCCTCGTCTCAGAGGTTGCATAGGCACGTTTGAACCCTACCCGCTCGCACAAGGGCTCGCCGAATATGCCAGCATCTCGGCATTCAAGGACCGTCGCTTTTCCCCCATCTCGCAGTCGGAACTTTCTCGGCTCGAATGCGGCGTCTCGCTGCTCACTGGGTTCGAGGAGTGCGACGACTACCTCGACTGGGAGGTGGGCGTGCACGGCATCTACATCCATCTGCCCAACCCTGCAACAGCTCTCAAGATGGCAGAAGACAGTGCCAGCTCTTCGAGTGGTTCTGGTGCCAGCACGCCGGCCCCTGCCTCCAAAAAGTCTCGTTTTGGAGGTCCGAACGTGTTGACCGCTACCTACCTGCCAGACGTGATTCCCGATCAGGGTTGGACGAAAGAAGAGGCCATCGATTCGGCGATTCGCAAAGCAGGGTACAATGGCAGGATCACGAGCGATATAAGGAGGTCGTTGAGGGTCAGGCGCTATAGATCCGAGAAGGTGCAGTGCACGTATGACGAGTACGTCGAGTGGAAGCAGGCTCGTTCTTGATCGTTCTTCCCGCACATTCTCAGGGGCGTAGTTGGACATAATCTTCCCATCCCGTTTTTTCCGCTCGCACAGCATCGAACGCATTTTTCGTGTCTCCTGTCAGCACTCGGTCTTGTTTCGCGCATCTCAGCATTGTTGTTTCCGCTCCATCATCCTTTTGTCCGCCTTTGTTCAGTTCTTGCATCATGTCTCACGTAGTTCAAAGCATTCGTTTTGTTGACGATTGAGACTGTGGACGGCGCGATCTTGTGTGTCGGGCTTTCCGAGGTGTGTGAAATGTATCGGTTTGAGATTTAAAATCGACAGAGTCGAGCATGGTCGGCAGCTTTCCTAGTGACAGAAGCAAGGTGAAGTTTTGGAGGATCAAGCGGTAGCCGAGGGGTCCTTGGTGAACCTGAGGTAAGGCTTGACGGTCTCGTAACCAGGGAAGAGTTTCTCGGCCTCCTCGCCCTGTACGCTGGGGTGAACGATGACCTTGTCGCCCTTCTGCCAGTTGACGGGGGTGGTGATTCGGTACTTGTCGCCGATCTGAAGGCTGTCGATGACACGGAGGATTTCGTCAAAGTGACGACCGGTGCTGGCGGGGTAGCTGATCTTGAGACGGATGACCTTCTTGGGGTCAATGACGAAAACATCACGGACGGTGAAGGGGATACCCTTGGCGTCGACGTTGGTGGGGTCTAGCGCATCGAGCATGTCGTACTCGGTGGAGACCTTTCGGTCCTTGTCACCGATGATGGGAAAGTTCACGGAGGTGTTGCCGACTTCGTTGATGTCCTTGATCCAGCGATCGTGCGAGGCGATGTCGTTGGCGGAGAGTCCGATGATCTTGACACCGCGAGCGGCGAATTCGGGTGCCTTGCGAGCTACCTCACCGAGCTCAGTGGTGCACACGGGGGTGAAGTCATCAGGGTGCGAGAAGAGGATTCCCCACGAATCACCGAGATACTCGTGGAAGTTGAGAACTCCGCTACAACACAGCAGAGAGCGAAAGAGAAAATCAAGTGGTTAGAACAATGTGTCTTCTAAGAGGCGTGGAATCAAGGATGCAAGGACACTTACTGAGTGGTCTCGGCGGTAAAGTTGGGTGCAACGGATCCAAGACGAAGGCCAGGCATTTTTCGTATATGAATATCAAAGTGGTGATGATGGTTTGAAGAATCGAAACAGTGAAGCGTAGGAAGATCTGGAGCTTCTTGTACTTTGTCCGCTCTGACGTCTGACGATCCCGTCCAGACCCTTTCCTCAGCCAAGAGCCGGAGCTGCCCGCCACAGCTTGCATGCAGCCCGTACACACAAAATCTCATTCCAAGCACAACATCTTTCTTCGACGCTTCCCCAGCGTGGCGACACCAGAAATTTCCAGCCACTAGCTGCTCAGCTTAGGTACGTGGGGAAGGCGGTAGAATCGCGGCGTTAGAAGAAACGTCACGCTCGGACCGCTTTCTGAGTGCAAAGTGCAGGGTGGAGATAATGAGTAGATGCACGCTTGCAGCTGGAGCTCATTTTGACACCACCGGCTGCGCGAATGGCATCTTGGCCGGCGTTGTCAGGGACTGCACACCATTTCATGCATCGATGGCGTGATTCACTTGGGGTGCGAGAGAAATGTTGAGAGCCTTCAACTAACATTGAGTGAAGTCGATCAAAGCACCGACGCCTAAGTCACGTGCACTAGCATCTACCAAACGCGTGCCTCGGAAAAAGAGCTGGAATAAAAGAAAGAGAGCTCATTGCACGGTTGCCCACGACTTTTCGCTTTCCGTTCAGGGTCCGACCATGTGAAGGTCGTCGAGATCTAGAACCTGAAAATAACCTCGAACGAGCGGCTCCATTCGATTGGGTCGCGAGTGTTCCGACACCATTGCATGGGAGCATACAGTTCGAGTTCAGCTGCGTTCCCCGAAAAGCCAGAAGGAGACATTCGCATCCCGCAGAAAGAGCCAAAGTAGGAGTGGTGGTGGCTTTGCTGCGGTTGCGGCTCCTCGCGCGGAATAGGACCTGGGTGTGTTCGCTCGACCGCCACCAAGTGTTTTTGTGTTCGACTGAACGTCTATGCTTCCTTGGCAAGATGTGATCGTATGATCGCAAAGTGTGGCTTCAAAAGCTGATCCAAGTCTGATCGAGGTAGTACAGGGCTGGACTACTGTTCCTTCACACTGTCGCCCTGAACGAGCTGTCGTGCCAGCAATATAATCCCACAGAACGTCAAACTCACAGAAGCGTCGGTACACAGTATGAGTTGACGAGCTACCAAGGCTGATGCAGGGTCTTGTGCGTGCTCGCGAAACAGAAAACATCATGTTTGAGAGCATAACCCTGAGCATATCAGATCCACGGCGAAGGCTCGTCTTGCACTTACAACGTGGCGCTTTCTTCATCTCCAAAATCAATGCACAGAGTCCAAGACTGCAGCGCTCGAGACAGTCGGTGCTCGGCTCAAGTCCGACAAGCGCCACCCATTCTCCACCTACTAACTCTCCCCCGAGCTTGCCACGTCGCCATCTCTGAAAAGAGTCATCTGCATCTAGACACCTTTTTCCTTCATTATTTTTCGGCTTAGCCGAACCCCGCACATGTCGCCTTTTCTCCATCTCGGCCAACGTGAAGGAAGTGCGTCACCAAGAGCGGAAAAGGAGCTAGCCGAGCTGTTTTAGCGCAGAAAAGGATTTGGCGTGCCGCCAAAGGTTGCCGCGACGTGGGCTAGGACCCGAAGGGTTGCCAAGCACGACGTAAGGATGCCAGCGAGCAAGCTTATTTCGAGCTGGTAATGTGCCGACAGCGCCTCCTCTTCCGAGCTATGAGACAGCACTGAGCCAGCGAGGGATTGACGTGAGGGACCTGGGCAACGAGATCCAGCGTCGTAGACTCCTATGGCGCGTCAGTTACTGCCATCGAACGTGCAGTAGAGACAAGCAAAAACGAGGCGCGACGCTCTCCTCACGGACATCCTATTCCGGACAAGCGTTGGCCTGACTTTGCGCGCATTTCCTGCCCTTGGTGTCGATTTCATTATGGCAGAGTTTGCTGGTTTCACCTTGGACATCCGCCACTGAGCTTTCCGATTCGGCCTGCTCCGCGGCCACCGAGTTTGTTTCCTGATCGGATCGCTTGCCATGAGGTGTGGCTGTGGTCTCAGTTGTTCTCTCCATGTATGTGTAGATTTCAAGTATTTATTTTATTTGATATTTTCGATTGTTGTGGTGGCCGAGCAATGCCGCGATTGTCGTTCTCTTGAATGATGTTCGACGTGGAATGGGCACAAAGCTGCGACGAGCAAGCAGTCCTCAAATCGGCATTGCTAGAGCACAACAGTGACATCGCAAGTAGCAAGTCGGTGAGAAGTCAGTGGTTCGACAACTGGCTCGCAGCGTTTTCCATGCATTGTATGTGATTGTGTAACGATTCGTGACAATAGGGGGTGTGCAGTGTAACTTGATGCAGTGGTGTTGGTGTTCCGGTGTTGCGGCGCGTGGAAAAGTGTGGAACAGGCGAGCAGGGCGCGGGGCTCTGCAGCATGCGAGATGCAACAAGATGCACCAAATGCACAGTGGCTGCACAGTGATGCAGCCGATACAACCCGTCAATCGCTGGTTGGCACATATATTTGATTGCACCCACCGCAGTCAGTCGCTCTCTCTCTCTCTTTCGTCGTTACCTCCGTCGCTATACCTGCCAGTACCACCATCCTCGTCATCTGCACCTCGCTGCATCCAACATCAGCACATCGCATTCCATTCATTGCATTCTGCACAGCGTACACTGCAGTGCACCACATTGCATGCAGTCCTCCACGCCGAGACTACGCCATAGGTTCATATCATCTTTCGCTTCGTGTCCCCACCGCCAAGCACCGACACCTCACCAGCCCGGACCATCTCGCAAGACGTGTCCAACCTTCTCTCTATCCTCCTCCTTCCCGTCTCACGACAGCATTACATGCGCTCAAATCACCAGTGGTGAGATCAAACGTGCCCATCTATCAGACACGACTGCACCCTCAGTTCGCCAAAAGCTGCACCGCTGTCAATCCGAGCTGCACGCGCGCATCTGTCGCCGCAAGCCCGCCTTCTCGAACGGCCTTCCTTTGCAGTCAATCGTCCTTCCTCTTCGCCACACCTTCCCGCTTGCCGCTTCCATCACCCGCGCTGTCACTTTTGAGCCTCTACCCTGCGCCATCCGTCCTGGCGCCGCTGTCCACGCCTCGCTTCTGCTAGCCTGCAGCTCTATTCCGAGACCCTGTCTCAGGAAGTTCCAATCATCCCGTCTCCGTCTCCGTCCCTAACCTCGCCTCGCCAAGCTCTCAGTTCAAACCTACCAGTGGAACACCTCCAGCTTCCTTCCTTTCGCTTCGCCATCAGCACGACCACTGGCACCATATACCTGCATCTGATAGCATCGGTATCTCCATCGCAGCTTGCTTGGACCGCGTTACAGCCACCGCCAAGGTACACAGCCACTCTGCCGCAGGATATCAGCGCATACAAGCCGCTTTTGACACACCTTCTGCCTGGACGCATCCATCACGCTTCGACATTATCTGCCTCGCAGCTCCTGCTTGATCCACTCGCTCGGACCATCAGCTGGCTCTTCGGAGCCCTCAGCGACTGCCTCGACCATCGGAACATCCCGTCAGTAGCCGCATGAAATCTGTCGTCTGCTACCTCCTCTGAAGCATCGCAATTGGCGCTGGCTCGTCTCTTGCCCACGCTTATCCCCGCTCGGTCTGGTTCCATTTACCCGCATATCGTATCTCGAACCCTTTCAAGTTGGTCAACCGGGAGCCTTCTTCGGTTCCAGCCCGTCTGCACACGTTTCCCCTCATCCTCAGGCACCGAGTCGTAGATCATCCCTCGATACGCAGGGTCCGAGCCGTTCTTTGCACATCCGAGACAGTCCAGCGTCCGTGCGGCATGTATATCAATTAGACCCTGTCGACTACCAGACCTTCTCGACTGTCGTTGCACTCTACGACAGCTGGTGACATCTCTCCAACTCCCCGCTCAGATAGTTGCCTCCCTTGACTCGTCACCGCGCATCTTCATATCGGCCTCGTCTTCGCTTTGGACCACCGCCATCACGATCTCAGCGCAGCAGCTTCGAAAGCACCGATCAAGTCGATTCAAGTCACAGTACTCACGCGCGCACAACTACCACTCGAAGCACATCTCTGCATCGCATCGCTTTTGCAAGAACCAATATCTCCAAAGTCAGACAATGACAGCACAGGTGGTCTACAGCACGATGATGTCCCAGCATCCCTTCTCATCCAACTTCTCGTCACCGGTAGCCACACCGTCTCCGACAAAGGAGAACAAGTTCCCCGTCTTTCCTTCTTTCAACATACAGGCTACGGGCGAGGCCTCGTCCTCAGCGATTGGCGCTGCCCATACTCATGCCAGCGAGGACGCTACGCTGACTAACAAGCTCACCCCAACTGCGAGCGTAACTGTCCGCCCCTACAAGTCTTCCAATTCACGCCGCTCATCTCGGCCAAGGCTGAGCAGCCTACAAAGCCTCAACTCGGTCCCTGCGTCACCTTCCCTCACAGAGCAAGACAGCGGGCGCGCATACATCTCCTCGAGTCGTTTGCTGACATCGCATCCCAGCTTGAGCAGAGCGACCTCTCGCAACGCCGTTGAGACACTGCAGCCGTTGGCAGAATCGACCTCTAGCCTTGGAAAGCTCAAAGTGACTCCCTTGCATCCCTCCGATGCCGATACCATGCCAAGGTCGCCGCAGCGGCCCACGACTCAGCCGCAAAGCAGTGCATTGCCACCAAGAGCAAGACGAATCTCAACAAGCCCTACCCTCGACTCTGGTCTGAGCGAATTTGGCCAGATGGGCGCCCCGTTCGCCGGCAGTAGCCGCCATGCTGACCGCGCAGACGTGTCCGCTAAGCTTCGCAACTTGCATACCAGCACGGGCGCATTCTTGCGGCGAAGTCACACCATCACCGCCGGCATCAGCTCAGTCGCTCCACAGAAAGAGGAAGACTCCTCGGCAACGAGATCGCCGCCACCTTCGACTGCCATGACGTACGGTCCAAGTAGCGGCCGAAACGCTCCCAGACCTACACAACGACGGCAGACCGTGTCCAACGTATCTCCCGACTCCGTCGATCGGCTAGCACGTGCCCAGCCACAACGTGCCAACACCGCAGTGTCACCTTCACCCAGCCGTACCTTGCCGTACACACAGCCGTCGCCAAATGCACCGCCAACTGGAAGCACGCTCTCTGTATCGTCCCCGTCGTCCTCCCGCCTCCGGCAGCGCGGTGCGCTACCCAATAACCAGCTCGAGGCCAAGGTCGTCATTCTTGGCTCCCAAGGTGTCGGCAAGACCTCGCTCGTGCACCGCTACACATCGGGTCAATTCAGCATCGCATCTACGCCGTCGACCATCGGAGCCAGCTTCCTGACCAAGAAGCTCATCGTCGATTCCGTCAAGGTACGCCTGCAGCTGTGGGACACCGCAGGCCAGGAACGCTTTCGAAGCATGGCGCCCATGTACTACCGTGGAAGCCACGCAGCTGTGATCGTGTATGACATTACGTCCATGTCGAGCTTCCTGGATATTCGAACATGGATCGAGGAGCTCAAGAAGAACATGACTACCGATCTCGTCATCCACATCGTGGGAGCCAAGTTGGATCTGGCCTGGTCCAAACGGCAGGTTGAGCTCGACTTCGCTCGCGCCACCGTCGGCAGCTGGCTCCAGATGTATCAGACTCAACCACCTGTGGGTGCGGTCGCTTCGGCTGGATGGAATGACTCGGACGGCAGTCCTGGATCGCCCACTCGTCCCACATCGCGGCTGAGCGGGCTGGGATCCTTGGCGATCGGCTCGGCTTCGCGTCTGACGTCGTTTCAACGCAGTAACAGCGCCCCTGGCTGGCCCAACCTGCCTGCTTCGATCACCAGTGCACCCGGGACCGCCGCCACAACGCCAGGTGCCCCGACCGGGCTGTCAGCGCTCAAGCCGAGCAGCTTTGGCAGCAGCGGAGCCTCCTCTGGCTCAGCCGGAAGCGATGGCGGTCGGGCCGACGCTCTCGAGCGCGACTTTACGCTCTCGTGGGACTTGGTCGAAGTATCCGAGGTGTCGGCAAAGGATGATCGTGGTATCGAAGAAGTGTTCTTGGCCGTCACAAAGAAGCTCGTGGAGCGCAGGACGCAGATCGAACAGGAGAGGGCGAGTAGGGAGAGGAACAGCATCTTTTTGTCCGCCAGCGATGCGGAGAATGCACTGCAGGACGCGCCGGTGATCGTCACCAACAGCTGGACTTGTTGTGGATGACTGAAGGGAGAAGAGGTGTTTATCGTTCCATCGTTTAGAAGTTCATCATTTTTATACCATTGTCACATACAGATTTAGTTTTCTTCGCATGAATCGCAAGGTTTTCGGACTCGATGATGGAGTGCTGCTGTGTGTGAGGTTTTGCTTTGTCACTCGGGCGTCGTTGCTCAACTTGGACAGTGTAGCACAGCCAGAGGGGTCGGGACCAAACATTTGAGGGTGTGAGCAAACAAACAAAATGTAGCATTGAACAAACCGAAAGGGAACCACATTGCAACCCATGAAACCACTTCCGTTAGGGGAAGACGACACGATTTCCACTGATCTGCAAAACCCCCAAATCCTGGTACTCCTGTAGACACTCCTGGAACTGATCCTCCACAAACCCACTCGCGATCACCCTCGCTCTCAAATCGTTCATCAGAACCCCGTTGGGTGTAGGATACATCTCGGTATCTCCATCGAGATCTTCCTCCTCCACCGCGGCGGAAGATTGGTGAAGGTTGTGAAACTCCCGGATGATGCGGTAGATCTTGCTGATGTACGTCGTGTCCTGACCGAGATCTCGGGAAGAGGAGAGCGAGGGGTGGTTGAGGATAGAGGATTTGGAAACTTCGAGCAACCGAAGTGCTTCGTCTACGTCCGGGATGGAGACAGAGTCGTCGAAACGAAGACGTGCCAGGGCTTGCGAGAGACGGATGATACCGAGTAGGGTTCGCGCCGAGACGTAGCCGGTTCCGGAAGAAGGTTCGTGAGAAGAGGACGAGGGGAGGGTGTCTTCCTTGTACTGGGTACGCATCTGGACGTAGGCACCGACGACGTAGTCCGAGACGGATTTGGAGAGCACGGGACGTTTCTGTCGTGCAAGGGCGATGTAGTGACGCATGAGGGTGGGTGAGATGACGTCGAACTCGAGCTCGGGGTGATGGTTGTGCATGTGGACGTAGGTGACGTGCTGCGCCAGACGTTCGTCGTCATCCCGGGTCGGTGTGTCGAGGATGAGGTAGAGGATGTCGAATCGACTCAACAACGCCGCGGGAAGGTTGATGTTGTCCACGGGAGAAACCCTCGGATTGTAGCGTCCGTACAGCGGATTTGCAGCAGCGAGGATCGATGTTCTGGCGTTCAAAGTCGTGGTGATGCCCGCCTTGGAGATCGAGATAGTCTGCTGCTCCATCACTTCGTGGATGGCGGTTCGGTCGGACTCCTCCATCTTGTCGAACTCGTCGATGCACGCAATTCCGTTGTCGGCGAGCACGAGCGCGCCTCCTTCGAGCACCATCTCGTCGGTCACGGGATCGCGCATAACAGCAGCGGTGAGACCGACGCCCGAAGAACCTCGTCCCGTGGTGTACACGCCACGCGGTGCCACTTTCGAAATATACTTGAGCAGCTGCGACTTGGCCACACCCGGATCGCCCATGAGGCACACGTTGATGTCTCCGCGGATCTTCATCCCGTCGCCGACGGTCTTGCTCACACCGCCGACGAGCAGCAGCAGCAGGCACTTCTTGACGTCCTCGTGGCCGTAGATCTCGGGTGCGATGGACGAGGCGAGCTTCTGGTACAGAGCCGGATCGTCTTTCAGCTCGGCGATCTGCGCGGCGATTTCGGGGGTGCGCTGCATGGCGGTGTACTGCTTCTTGAGCTGGTGGATGGACTGCGCGTCGAGGTAGGTGTCGGTGAGCAAGCCGGCTCGGATGGCTTTGAAGCCGGAGTAGGGCATGGGGAGGAAGATGCCGCCGACGTGGACTACGTCACCGGGGTTCATGGCGCGCGTCAGCGGACCGTAGACGTGGATGGTCATCGTTCGCGGGATGTGTCCGACAGGCACCTGGTCTGCCATCTCCTGGATCTTGACTTCTTGGAAGGGAACGAACTTCGACGCTCGCACTTGCGGGTACAGCGGTCCGCGTGTGTTGTTCGTCATGCACCGACGAGAGTTGCACTGCGTCAACGGCATGTACTGTCGCGAAGTGACTTCCTGGAACACCTCCGCACCACAGACATCGCACGCATACGCATCGACCAGCAGGAAGGGCTTCACCTCGGAAACGCGCGTGACGATGCCGCGGACGGTGATGAGTTTGCCCAAGTGCGAGCCTCGGACGGATCGGACGGCGAGCGGTTCTTCCGGGTGCTGCTCCCCCTGCATCCTTCCGGTGTAGGGCTTGAAGTAGAGCGTATACCTGCGCAGAAGCACGGGAGGGAAGATATTGTCGCTCGCATCTTCCGGTGCCACGCCCGCGTCGTTGGGATCCTCGGCGCTTTCGACGGTTCGAGCGTTTCGCTCCATACGTTGATGTCGGATGACATCGAGGACGTCGTCTTTGTGAGAAATGTCCTTGGATGGTTCTGGTACCAATTTGTCGACGCACTCGGAGAATAGGTCGAGGTATCTCTTTGCGTTGTTTCGGATGGCACCTACGAGCTCTTTCCCGGACTCGTTGGTGGTAGTGTTGAAGTGAGAAGCGACATCGTTCAGGTCAATGATGAGCGAGTTTTGTTCCCGGTTTGCGATATTTTGGAGCTGGTGCATGTAGAAGGGTACTTGGCGTGAGGAAGAGGCGGAAGCTTCGGCTGCAGCGCGACTGCGTCGTTGAGAGGCTGAGCGGTCGACATCCATGTGGTCGATGGCGCCGGTCAGGTCGCGGTCGACGTTGAGGTCGTCTTCGTCCTCATCGGGATCTTCGAGACTGACGGGTGCACCGTTCTGTGTCGAGGATAGGGTGGAAAGACGGGATGCAGGTGCTTTGAAGAAGAGGAGGAAGTCGGTGATCTTGGCTCGCTCTTCCTCGTAGCTGATGTTGAGCGAGATCGTAGGTAGGATTGGGGCGCTTCCGGACATGGTTGCGGCGAAGTTCCGCTGTAGATGAGCACGAGGGTATACAGTTGTGGAAGGGATCGAGCTCTAGAAGTGCTAGCTGACCAGAGCAAGCAAGAAGACAAATCTTTCGTGAGGGTCCGTGGTGATAGCGTTGGCCGCCAGGTAGGAGGGAAAGGCTCGCACGCCGCTCGATGCGGACAGCAGAGAGGTGGAGATGGAAGGAGGATGAGCAAATGCGACCGATGTAGTTGACAATGACGATGAGGCGGGTGACAGGATGTGATGATGGCAAAGCAAAGGGACAAGACAGGGAGAGGATGTCGAATGCTCTGCTGGAATCTTGCGCACCCAAGCTAAGAAGGACGAAGCGACTCAGAGACAGCGCTCCTCGACTGCAAGTCGTCCCGCCTTGGCTTGCAGGCCGCAAGACGCAGGGAAAGGAGAAAGCTCTCGCCGAGTGCCGCTCTCTGTGCGCTGCCAAACACACGCGGCAAGCGCGAAAAAGGTGCGAAGCAATTTACACGACGAACACGCGAACCTGGGCGCGTCCAAACAACAAGACGCGTTCTTAGAAGAGGCGCGCCGATGAGCGTTCACCAGAAATTGTTAGATCCACCACGAGCTGTGGTTCCTCGGATCAACACGATTTTCCTCGTCTATCCTCTTGAGCTCGGTCAAAGCCGAACAGATTTGATAAAGCATTAACAATCAAGGCTCAGAGCAGGTCGACTCTCACCATCAACGCGGGCGAGTCTCCGATCCTCACAAGCTGCTTCCTATCTCCAGAGCTCGCCAACGAAGTGCGATGAAAGAATCGTCGATGAGTCATTGAGTTCCAAAATTTATATGATAGCACATCACGGCTTGAGCGGGAGATCGGCCAGGCAAGGAGCATTGAACAGCCTCCCCGTCCAAGCGCCCTTGGCCGTCGGTATCGCCACGTACAGCCACAGCGAAATGTTGGCAATGACAAAGCCCGTGTAAACTATCTTGAGCGCAAGACTATCCAGCTCTATCGCCAGTCGTGCCGTGCAGATCGCCAGACTCGCAAACGGGAACGTCAATCCCCACCAGCCCATGTTGAACCCTAGCTTGCCGCGTTTCAACTCGCGGATGATGGTGAACACTCCGATGCACAGCCACCATATTCCCAGTCCGAAGAGGAACATGGCCGAGATGAGTCCTGCTCCGTACAGCGCCTGTCCCACCGAAAAAAGTTGCGGAACCCCCGAAGAGGCCGATGTCGAGATGGTGGGGAACAGGTGGAGAGCGACTCTGCCGAGGTGCAAACATGCTTCTCCTCCCTGACCGCAGGGTCCGAGAGGCAGAAAGACGGAGATGATGACATCTCGTGGCGGACTCTTGAACAGCAGCAGGCGTTGGAAGTAGAGTACGAGGATGAGCAGGGCCAGTGGCAGACCGATGCCGAGCACGAGGTAGCTCACCACCATGATCGTGAAGGCGTACGTTGGGTATCTGTGCATCAGGATCTCTGCGAGCACGCTCCCTGTCGCCGCAGCAGTGATCGGTGGTACGATAGGCAGCAACAAAGCCGCGGTGATTCCTTCAAAATAGTGCTTCTGGTACGTCATCATGCTAAACGGTACACCGATCGCCGTCGCCAAACTGATCGCCGTCGCTGCCCACCACAGTCCGCTGGCGGCCAGTGCGAATCCGATTCCCAGCTTGAACTCGTTAGTTCCCAGCTGTGCGATGCCACTGATGATGGTGATGAGACCCATGGGTAGCGTGCCCAAGAACATGGACTTTTGAGGATGCTTGATGGTTAGAGGTACCACTTCCGGATACATCAGGTAGCGCGCGAAGAAGGCGCATACGAAGAGGATGAAGATGACAATGTCGCCGAGCAAGAAGCATGCAGCGGGATAGCGAAGTCCTGAATGGATCGATGGCCACGGAAGCAGGTTGAGCAGCGTGGCGATGACACCCGTGCCCATCGTCACCGAGAACCAGGACGGTGTGAAGTGCAGCACGCGTTCCTTGATGCCGTGCCGTCGCATGGGTTTGCCGTCTTCACCCACCATCTTGATCCGTCCCGGTTCGCTGCTTGCATCGGTGGACTGTGCGCCGTTCGATCGCTTGGATCTCGCCTCTTTCTCGGAATCTGCCATTGTCGCCAGCTCTTCCGCCCTCTGTCGGATACTCGACCGCTTCGGTGTTCGACTGCGTCCCGTACGCGCACCGCTTTGTTGCCTTCGACGTACTAGCGAGGGTAAGAGCCTGCTCCTCCGCGAGCGCCTACCCTTGCTTCCGTCGTCGTTGTCATCGTCCAAGTCGACATATGAATCGTGTGGCGTGTCGTTCTCGCCGGTCAACACCCGTGTCAAGCGCTGCCCGTACGACTCGGTCGGATTGAGGGCATGCTGGTCGTCGGCGGATGACGTCGATGCGCTCGTACCTCTCTCGGTACCCAGCGCGCCCGTCGCTGCCTCGACATCTAACTGCGTTGCTCTCGCCTCGTCATCGATGCGACTTGGTCCAGGTGCTTGGCCTGCAGCCGATGTGTTCATCGAGCGTGACGCTACCGCATGAGGATGAGCATGTTCCACCGACTCCATGACATCGTTCTGCGGTTCCAGGCCGGGAGCGTCTTGATACAGTTGGGGCGAGCCTGCAGTCATCTCTCGAAGGTGTTACTTTGGGTTCGTCTGTGATGCTCGGAGATGTGGTGGATGGCGCCCTGCCTTGTAGATGCTAAGTTTGTATAGCCGATGTTCGCTTTCGAAGCCGGATCTCTGTTCAAGGTGATGGCATTTCGCAACGTAGTAGCTACGCAATCGTTTCGATCTTTCCCCGAAAGGAAGGGTTAGATATATGACGGCAGCAACAGCGAATGGACGGGCGATGACTCGAATCGACTTGATGATGGTAAGGGTAAGACCTATGATTTTTGGTGTGTTTGTGTAAAATGTTGATCCTAAAATGTCAAAATGCGGAGCGAGGCTAGCTGCAGGGTTAAGCACAAATTTTGAGCCGTGGGCAGGACTCAAGCGGGGGAGCGGCAAACCAGCGCGACGACTATTTCCGCTTGGCTCCTCCACCTAACCTGCGCGCTTCGCCCTGAGCTTTCGAGCCTGATGAGGCATTCGACGACCCAGAGACCGGACGGATACATTGGCATCTGATTGCACATGACGGCTGCTTGCACAGAATACCTGCTTGTGGCATCATGAGATAGCTCGAGAGCCTTGCTAGACAAGTTGTGCTTCGGACGGCGCGCTCCAATGTAGGGGAGTAACGAAGAACCTTCTCAATGTTCTAGATGAGCAGCTCACCTGGTCTTCCCTATAGTTTCCTGCACAAGCAAAGACAAGATACTTGCACGGAAAAAACGACTTGATTGCTCTGAACGATTTCACAAGGTGTTGGCTACTCAAAGATGAGACTTGATTCCAGCCTTGGCAAGCAACGCATCCGAGATGGCGTTGGTCTTGTTGATCCTCTCCCATACCTCGGGTGCCCTTCGCAGCTCGAGCTTACCCAGCTGCTGGAGGTGCACCTCATCGGGACCGTCAGCGTATCGCAGCGTACGCAACTGCGCGTAGGCGTACGCCAGCATGGTATCCTGCGAAACACCTTCGGCGCCGTGCGCCTGCATCGACATGTCGAGCACCTTGAGCGCGTCGTTGACCACGGCGACCTTGCTCATACCGATCTCGCGCATGGCACCCTTGGCGTTGGTCTTGTCGATCATGTTGGCGGCCGAGAGGACGAGCAGACGCGCCTGTTCGATCTTGATGCGTGCCCATGCGATGTTCTGCACAATGGTGCCGTGTTCCGAGAGCATCTTTCCGAACGCCTTCTTGCGCTGGTCGGTGCAGCGAGCGAGCATGAGATCGAGCGCGCGCTCGGCGGTGCCGATGGTGCGCATGCAGTGGTGAATACGGCCGGGTCCGAGACGTCCTTGGATGATCTCAAATCCTTTACCCCAGCCCAGAACGAGGTTGCTGAGCGGTACGCGGACGTTGTCGTAGATGACCTCGCAGTGGCCCTCGGGTGCATCGTCGTAGCCAAACACCTGCATGGGCCTGATCACCTTGACACCGGGCGCGTTGGCGGGCACGATGACCAGACTCTGCTGCTGGTGGCTGTTGCTGTTCTCTGGATCCGACTTGCCCATGACCAGGTGGACGGCACATCGCGGGTCACCTGCGCCCGAGATCCACCACTTGTGGCCGTTGATCACGATCTCGTTGCCCTCCTGGCGGATCGAGGTGCGGATGTTGGTGGCATCCGACGAGGCGATGAAGCGCTCAGTCATGGCGAATGCAGATCGGATCTCACCGTTGAGCAACGGTGTGAGCCACGTCTGCTTTTGCTTCTGATCGCCGTACTTGGCAAACACCTCCATGTTTCCAGTGTCCGGTGCCGCGCAGTTGAGCGACTCGGAGGCAAAGTGGGAGCATCGTCCCGTCATCTCGGCGATGACGGCGTACTCGAGGTTGGTGAGCGGCGAACCGACATCGGGGTAGTGCTTGCCGGACAGGAAGAGGTTCCAGAGACCCTGCGCCTTGGCCTTCTTCTTGAGCTGCTCCACCACTTCGGGCACGATCTTCCATCGCTTCTCGGGGTCGGTAGAGACCTGGGCGTGGTAGAGCTTCTCGGCGGGGATGCACTCGTCGACAATGAAGCGGATCACCTTGACCAGTGTCTCCTTGCCGAAGGGCGAGAACTTGTCCTCGATAAAGGCCCACGTTCCGGCGCCAATGTACTTCTTGATGAGCTCATCGCCACTGAGGCTGGCAGGGAGTACCGTCGTCATGTTCGTACGCTGTTCGGAAAGAAATGGAGGAGGGAAGAGGATGCAGGATGCAATGGGAAGATGAGGGATGTGGGGTAGAAAAGGGAGGAGAAGAAGCCAGCAGCGAGCCGAAGCAGTTTTGTACGGGTTAAGAGACAAACAAGCTGAAGGGTTGGGTGGATTGATGGTAGGTAAGAGTCCGGATATGGTCCGGCTAAGGAGAGTCGGCTCTTTGGACCGGAGACGCGTGTGGGCAGCCAGCCAGCTTCTCTGCAAAATCACAGCGTGGGGCAAGTGGCGCCGCAACAGCAGAGAAAGGGAAACGCGGAGTCCAATCGAAGCAAAAGAAGAGATGGCCAAACCCAGGCAGACATGCCAAGGCAGCAGAGCGCGACAAACGCATCTCGGCAATCAAGGGCAGTGATTTTGTGGGGTCGAAGTGCAAGTTGCGAAGAATTGTTCCCCAACCAAAGCACAACAGTCTCGAGGCGGCAAAGCATGACCGACCGGAGAAGCCGAGTTAGACCGGGTCCTTCTTTTGCAATTGTAAAGCAAGTTTTTATTTTCCAGTATTGCCTTCTCCTGCCTGTCAAGTTCGCTTTCTCGTCTAACTCGCTGACGAGGACAAAACGCCGGCGAAGAAGGCTGAAGCTGTGGGTAGCAACACTGACCAGGCAACTCGTGGCGAACAGCGAGCGGTGTTGAGGTGGATCAAAGTGCTTCTGAGGTCAAAATGCTCGCGCTAGCCTAACCGAAAGCAGCTGCACCCACTGCTGCACTCGCCGGAAAAATACAAACGGAGCGGGCCAATTGGTTGTTCTTGCTTGGCTCCTCGATTCTTGCCACGCGTCGAATCGGCCGTACGGCCAGACTGACTGCTTCCAAGGTCTAACATCTTACAAAAAGTCGCCTCCACATTGACGCTCCTTCCCCATGGCGCCGCGGAGTTTGCGCCACACCACGAATCTTCAACTGAGCAGCTGTTTGGCGACCACTCTGATCTGTTCTCGCAACGGATCCTCTCCTTGTAAACCATCATAATCTTCTCGAAGCGAAACAGATGACAGTATCGTTTGATCTCCCGTCCGGTCGTACGTAGGCGAAAGGGTGGCCAACGCAACGCAATCATCTTTGACGAGTACATCGCAACATCATCGATCAATCTCTCAGCACCATGGAATCGTTCAAACTAACGTTCGTTCATCGCAAAACGAACCACACACTGGAGGAATTGACAGCAGATACCACTTTGATGGAGCTACGTTATGCCATTGAAGAGGTCACGTTTGTTCCTGTGGACAAGCAAAAGCTGCTCGTACCGCGCAGTGCAGGCATAGCCGACCTGAACAGCCGCCCCGATGGGAATGCCGAGGCGGATCACCGAACGCTGGCAGAAGCGGGGCTGGCGAGAAACTCGGATGTCAAGGTGACGGTGCTTGGACCGTCGTCGCAGGAGCTCGAGCGACTCTACCAAGACGAGAGTGAGATGCATAGGCGCAATGCTCCGCGCCAATACCATCCAAGCCTGCTGCGCGGTACGAAGGCTCGCAACACTACCGCACCGGGCTCGAGCATGTCACCGTTCGGATCGATACAAGCACATCCGACCACGTCGATCTCGTCGCCGCTTCACGGCAAGGTGATTGACTATCTCACACGACTGAGTCGGGACGCGGGCATCCTGCACATTTGCAAGCTGCATCAGTTTCGCATCGGCACGCTCACCGAGTTGCTGCCCTGGGAGCATCCTGGTCTGCTCGGGCTCAACGAAAATGCGGGGCAGCGCATCTTGCTGCGCATACGCACCGACGATGCTGAAGGATTTCGAGACTACAAGACGACACGGAGGGTGCTGGTGCACGAACTGGCGCACAACAAGATTTCGGAACATCCGCCCGAGTTTAAGATTTTGAACAGCGAGCTCAACGCACAGATTGAAGCGTTCGAGCGTGCGCAGCAAGACGGCACGCATTCATTGGTGGAGGGAGATGTATATGAGCCATCTGCGCCTGCGCTCTCGTCGGGGCTAAGCGGTGGACATCGACTGGGAGGCTCGACAGGCGGCTCTGTTGCCTCAGGCGATGCAGACGACCGACGACAGCGCATCCTGGCAGCTACCATGCGACGGCTAGAGCGTGAAGAGCAAGAGATCGAGCAGAGCTGCGGCAGCGCGGCTGGTTCCGCCTCTCAGCATGGACGTCGCGCACCCTCAGCGCCGTGATCCGGTTTCGTCCACGATTTGCCTTCTCCCTCAACCCATGCCGTCAATCTTCCAGCAGTGTTTCTCCCATATCGCAGCATACCCAATAGAAGAACCTTCCCTTGTCCTTATCCCCCGTCTGTCCCGGACGAAACGAGGCATTGAACAGCTAACCTCACTGACGATTACGCTGTACGGTACGAACAGCGAGAAATCCTGCTGGAGTTGTGGCTGGCATCCGATGCAGGCTTAACATGTAGAAAGATAGTCGATGACGGACAGAGAGTGACACCAACACGAAAAAGTCTAACACGGATGTACCGTCGCGCGCGCTCACTGAGCTGTCAGCCGAAAGGGCACTGACCAAGTCTGGCGGTGAAAATAGCTGCGGAGCTGCAGTCGAATCCACAACAACACACAGAACTTGCCTCGCAGCCAGCAATTCGTGCACGACAGACACGGTCCACCGTGCAAACTTCTAGCCCTTGGAAAGCTCGAGCTGCTGGCAACTGACCATTGTGAGGAGAGCAAACGCTAAAGAGGATGGACTGAGTCTGTGTGTGGGAGAAAGGAAGAGTGTCTCGCCAGCGACAAGCTACAAAGGAAAGTAACACTTGAGGTCGAGTCGGGTAAGGCCCGTGGAAAAAGAGAGAGCGGTGCGGGCAACTCAGTTTAGTCAGTCACACACGGTCCTTGAAATCAACACCCAAATTCGTACGAGCCAAGCTCAGGCTGTGCTGTGCAGCTCTGCCTGCTGCAGGTGAGAATGCATCATTCATCACAACTCTCGCACACGTTCTCCTTTCTTCTACATCTTGGTACTTCGACCCAGCGCAGCAGAGCTGGTATCTAGACTTCATCTCCATCACACTCATTTGCAGGCAGCTTAGCGTACTCTTGGCTGGTGATCGCACGCATGCTGCCGTAGTGCTTTTACCCTCGTCTCCACCTCCTTCTCCAAACGCAGGCTCATCCTGGTCCACTCTAGTGCTGACTTCGGAGCACCTCCAACATTGCCCACGATGCCAGCATCCGTCGAAGCCGTCCACAAGGGCACGCTCGTATGCGTCGTCCTCAAGGCGCGCAACTTGCCCAACAAAAAGTCGATCGGAAAGCAGGACCCTTACACAGTGCTTAGCATGGGCCAAGAACAGCAAAAGACCAAGCCCGACAAACGTGGTGGCCAGCATCCGACCTGGGACGAGCAGCTCCATTTCGAAGTTTACGAAGATATGGAAGACGCGCTCACAAGCGCTTCCACGAACGACACTGGCTCGGGTTCGGGATCAAAAGCCACCTCGGCTTCTTCGGCGGCTACCATAAAGGCCAAGGGAGGCAAAAAAGTGCTCAAGGTGGCCTGCTACGCCGACGACAGCAAGGAGCCCGAATTCATCGGCGAAGGGCTCGTAGACCTCACAGACACGCTCAAGACGGGCGAATTCGATGAGTGGGTCACCATCAAAGCCAAGGATCGCTACGCCGGCGAGGTCTATCTCGAACTCACCTTCTACTCGTCCGCTGCCCCTCCCAAGAAGCGCAGACCATCCACACAGCCCGTCATGTCTGGTTCCGATACCTATGGCGGTGCAGGCTCCTTTTCGCGCATCGGCGATGGCTCGGCGTCCCCGCCCAAACCCAGCAAGCCCAAGGGTGACCATCCTCCTATCCCTGCCTCGATGCGTCCTGGCGCAAGCTCCACCAGCTCCAACGCGCACAACCGCATGTCCAGCAGCATCTCCACTTCCAGCCTCGCTGCAACGCTCCACAGACCTCCTTCGGCCATGTCTCACTCCCAGACCATGCACGACCTCGGCAGCACTACCATTCGTCCCAGCTCGTCGCTTGCCAATTTGGACGCCTACACACCCGCATATGCTCCCTCCAGCATCTCACGCTCCACTAGTCCCATACCGCCTTCGTCCTCGTACCACAATGTTGCTGCTGCCGATGCATCACGAGGTAATAGCTTCGTCACCACTATGCCTGCAGGCGGGTCTAGACGCAACAGCTTTGCCGCCCCCATGCCTTCCGAGTTCGGCCACTCGATTACACCTTCCGCCTCGTACTATTCGCAGCACTCGGTCACTCCTTCTCAGAGCAGCCAGTACCTCGCTCACGGCCACGCCGTCGAGCCCAGCGACGATCGTTACGCCACTGTTCGACCAGGATCCATCTCCCAGCGTCACCAGCCACAGTACACCGTGCCACGTTCCCAGTCCATCTCTCACATCCCGATCGCTTACAACCACGCACCTCAGCCCGACTTTGGTGCCGATCAGCTCACGCAGTCAATGTCCAACATGGGTTTTGGCCACTCGGCGGATAAGCCCCTACCTCCTCCGACGCCCGTGCAACCCGAAGAGCGTCCACCGCAGTCGCACATCTACCAAGCGCCCGCTCATTTGGCATCGCTGTACACGCCTCCGCCTAACGCGGGCTACTCGCACGACGCGCAAAGACCTGTTTCGCCCGCGGCTCGACCTCCGTCGGCGCTCTCGCAGTACAGCACGAGTCCATCTCCTCATGTGAATTCGGCGCCATCCGTGGTCAATGCGCAGGCATACTATCAACAACAGCCGTCGGCGTCGCAGGCAGGTGGCCATCTGGCGCAACCGCCCTCGATTCCACCTCGTTCCTCGTCCCCCGGCGCATCGGCAGCATACACACCGATCCCGTCACCGTACGGCCAACCGACTCAGCAGCCGCACGTGTCTCGTCCCTTGCCATCGACGCAGAGTTCCACCGCACTGTCATCAGCTGCCCCACCGCAGCCACATCAGCAGCAGCAGCCACCGTACCCTTCGCACCTCTACCAGCCTGTTCAGCAACCATCGCCGCCTCCTCATCAACCGCAGCAGCTCTCTCATTCGCACTCGATGTCGCATTCGCTTTCGCACAACACCTGGCACGGTGCTCCTCCACCGGCGTCTCAGCCTGCTCATCCATCGTACGCGCCTGCGCCTGCTCCTCATCAAGCTAGCAATGGCGTCGCGCCATCGCTGTCGAGCGGATACCTGTACTCTCCGCCGCCTCCTCAAGCTCATCAAAGCGGCGCTGACGCTGGTTCGAGCTGGAATCCTGGCAGATCACCATCGCCTCTACCACCTATTCCCGGATCGCAACACCAGCAACAACCACCGCCTCCACCTCCTGGCCAGCACATGCCCTCCTCCGGATCGATGCACAACCTGTACGCTGTTCCATCTGGCGCCAACGCTCCTCCTGCTCCTGCTCACGGCTACCAGCATCAGCAGGGGTATCAATACAGTGCTGCTCCAGCGTCACACCAGTACGCGCAACCGCAACCGTCGGCAACTGCGTATCAATATCCGTCGCAACACCAAGCTCAACCTCCACAGCACTATGCCACCGTCTCGGCAGCAACGCAGCATCAGTACGGATCCATGCCGAACTCCTTCTCCTCCTCGGCTCTCTATCAGTCTCATCAGCAGAACCAGTATGCTCATCAGCAACACTATCAGTGATCATCAAAGGGAAAGGTGCGATGATAGAAATTTGGAATTGGTTTTTTTTCATGCTTGGGCAAGTGAGTGTGTGATTGTGTGCGTTACAGGCCAGGAGGTCTGGGCGGTGGAGGGCCGGGTTTAACGGGTGGAGGACCTGGTGGTCTAGCCGACTTGTGAGGAGGAGAGAATGCATCCCTTGTGCGTCTCGCAGCGCGGGGAGGAGAGCGTGAGCGTGAAGCACTCGATCCTGAACGCGAACTGAAGCTGCGTGAACGTGAACGAGAGGTGTACGACGAAGGTGTACGCGATCTTCCTCGTCGAGCGATGGGACTGCGAGATCGAGAGAGGCTCCTGCTGCGCGATCGATTGTGTGTTTCGCGTGGAGGTGTGCGGCTGACGCTGCGCGATGAGGTCGATCGAGATCGTGAACGAGAGCGTGAACGAGAGCGTGAGACGGAGCGAGAGTAGGAGCGGGTTCGTCGACGACGGATGGGAGATCGTGATCGTGACCTTGACCGTGATGATGAGGAGAAGGAACGAGAATACGAGCGTGAAGAGCGCGAGCGTGAGCTCGAGTCCGAGAACGACGGTGAACGTGATCGTTTCCTGCCCCTTTCATCGTCTCTGCTTTTCCGAGGAACGTTGCTGCGACGGCTTCTCGGAGCAGCGTCCCTATCCGAGTCGGATGAGTAAGAATCGCTGCCTGACACTGAGCTGGTGTATTTGCCTCGCTTCTTGGCTCGAGGAGAAGGCGATCTTGACAGCGACCGGTCATCCTCGGAATCTCTGCCGCGACCTCTGCGATCATCCGGAGATGCCCTGCTAGCACGACCTGCCCAACCCGCATCGCGACCGGACCTTTGACTGATTTCCCTATCTCGCTCTCGCCTTGCCGCCTGCTGCTGCATATCTCTCTTCCTCTCCCAGTCAAGCTTCCTCTGCTCGTCCGCTTTGCGTCTCTCTTCCATCCTTTCCTGCCTCTTTCTTTCCTGTAGCTCGCGATCGAAGGCATCGCCTTCACGGTATCCGCTTTCCACACCGACGGCAGACGCGAAACGACGATCGTCGTGCTGCTTTGCTTCGAGCCGCTTGTGCGTCTCTCCGGGTCCGAGCCTGCCTGTATCCCGTTTCGAGGATGTGTTTGCTGCGCTTGCCTGTTGTGTCTGCTGCTCCAACTGTGCTTTCAACTTTTCGCGGAGAGCCGAGACCTGGAGCTCAATCTCGTCTTGTCCCACCTCATCATCTTCGAGCTGCACTCGTAGCTCCATACATTTCACCTCAACCTGACGTTTCCGCTCGTGTTCCAGGATGGCTGCATCGGGCTGTGTGTGTCGAACGTCGGAGCCGAACGAGGTGGAAGCTTTTTGCTTGTTGAATGGGTTGTCGCGAGGTTTAAAGTTGGAAAGGTTGCGTTGGACGTATCCATTGGTGCCAGTTCCTCGAGCGGTCTTTAGACCGATACCGTTGTACATGGCGACGCAGACTGCCTCGATCTGCACGCGAGAGTGAAGGTAGTAGACTGACTTGGCTGACGATGTTGTGGATGACGATGGCGATGTTGATGAGTGTCGCGGATGATGGCTGAGTTTGAGCGACATCGAATTTTGGACTTTGGAAGGAAAATCTCGGTTTTCGGAGATGGGATGCTGCACGGCTGTGGTCAAGTGGTGACTGTGGAGAGAGAGAGAAGGAGAAATGTGACTGTGGAGAGAAGCTCGAGCCGCTCGCATTTCAGGGTCCAAAATGCGAGCTGCAGCAACCTGTCAAAGAATGATCCTTGGTTCCCTTTGTACAATTGTGCAACCTTGCACGGACGCCGTCATCTCGTTCGCCTTGGTCATCGCTGCAACGGCTACGCTCTATATACTTCTGGCCAGAAGAGCTTTCCGTGCGTTCACGGATCTCGTTCCATCGTCGACACCATCTCATTACGGAGGAAAGCGCAGGCATCTTATGGCCTCCCGCGCCTTCATCGCTTGCAGCAATGAACCCACTCGACAAAGCTGCGCATTGCTCAGGTTAGACCGCAAACACGAATAAGAGCTTGTATTAGAGGGAAAAATACACTAGAGTGTCCATGTACGAACTCATGCGTCGACATGTCTGCAGCAGGACGAAGTCGAAAAGAGAGCGGAGGTCAGCGAGCTTCCGCTTCCGCTTCCCCAGCCCTACTTAAACCACCAGATCACGGATTCCTTCCCTCATCTACTCCCATCATTCATGCATCCGACGCTTCAGAGATATATGCAGCTAAGCACAATTGCATTCGACTAGAGCAACAGCTAGCTGGTGTTCAAGTCTCCGGCGCCATGCCCAAACGCACTCGAGGACAAGAGGACGTTGCTTCGTCCGCTAGCAACAATGACCTCGCTGCAACACAGGCAGAAGAGAAGCGGAAGCGCCAGAAAATCCTCGATCACATCTCCTCGCAAACCGCAGTAGATCCTGCGGATCAGCTACGTTCCGATCAGCTTGCCTTCGTTCCGCGCTCCTACCAGCTCGAACTCGCCCAGCTCGCCAAAGCCGGCAACGTTCTCGTCTGTCTCGACACAGGAAGCGGCAAAACGCTCATCTCGGTCCTCCTTTTGCAGCATGTACACCAGCAGCAAAGTATCGAAAAGCCACCTTCTCCTCCGGAGTCCTTCTCCGATTCTCTTCCTAAGCGCAGCAAAGTCTCGTTCTTCTTGGTCAACCTCGTTCCTCTTGTCCACCAACAATCGTCCGTCATTGCTGGCAACTCAAATCTGTCTGTCGGGAAGCTATACGGAGAGCTCAAGGATACTGTGCGCGGCAAGCGCAACAAGCTCACGGTCGACAGCTGGCGTGAGCCGCAATGGTCAGCACTGCTCGAGTCCCATCAGGTCATCGTCTCGACCGCCCAATGCTTTCTGGACGCCCTGATCCACGGCTTCATCAAGATGGATGATCTCAACCTCCTCATCTTTGACGAGGTACACCACGCCCTCAAAAATCATCCCTTCTTCCGCATCATGAAGTACTATCGACTTGCCCCGGAACAGGAACGGCCCAAGATCTTTGGCATGACCGCCAGCCCCATCTTCAGCAGTACAGGTCACTTCGACGAGGCTTCTCGCTACCTACAAAAGACCATGAATGCCAGGATCCACACGGTCTCGAAAGAGACTCTGCAAGATCTTCGAGAGGTCAAGCAGAAGCCCGAGGAGATCGTCATGGAATTCGATCCTTACTATACCGTCCTCGATGATGATCTCCTCGGTGTGCCCCTGTCCAAGCTATCCAGAGAGATGATCGATCGATTTGGTAGAGATCCCGCCTTAGCCGAAGATGCGAATCTCGACGCTGCCACCGAGTGTTTCGAGAAGGAGATTCGCCCAAAGCTCGAGTATACTATGCGTCATCTCGGTCCACTCGGATGCGACCTTCTCTGGCACAGCACCCTTCTCGAGTATCGCGCTCGAGCCCGCAAATGGGCAACCGTTGACCGCAGCAAACGTACGCTGGTCAACGATGACTGGGTAATCGATGCCAGCTTACAAAGTTCGATCGTTACTCCAACCCAAACCCAGGAAAGCAGTGAGAGTTCCGATTCCGACGGTGACCCGCCCGCTGCAACTCAATCGACGGGTTCAGGCATGGGTCCCGGCTTGGCGGTGGCGCATCTTTCTACCAACAATGAGCTTAATCAGCGCATCTTACTGCACATGCGCTCTCAGCCTCAACTTCCCGACTCTCTGAGCTTCAACGCGAGGAACACATCACACAAGGTTCTGCGTCTGATCGAGGTGCTCAAGTGCTTCGAGCCGAGCGCCAAGGACTTTTGCGCAATCATCTTTGTCGAGCGCCGACAGACGGCCACTCTGCTTGTGGAGCTCATCAAGCACGTCCCTGGTCTCGAGTTCATCCATGCCGAGTTCCTGCTTGGACACGAGAATGGTTCAGCCAATGGTGGTGCACCCGGTCTGGACTGGCACGATCAGGTACAGGTCCTCAATCGCTTCCGACGTCGAAAGCCCACCAATCTGCTCGTGGCTACGTCCATCGCTGAAGAAGGTCTCGACATTCAGGCCGCGAATCTTGTCATCCGGTTTGACCTGTTCAACCGACACATCTCTTTCCTGCAGTCTCGAGGTCGAGCCCGTGCCAAAGGCAGCCGATTCATCCTCATGGCCGAGAGTGGTAATCGTGATCACGCGCAGGTTATCCTGGATGTCTTCAACACCGAGGCCAATCGCGCCAAATGGCTCGACGACATCGCCGACGCCGACCACGACGCAAGCTTCTGGGACCACGAATGGCAGCACAAACTACACATCGAGGCGGACGAGGCTGCAGGAAGCGAGGAGTGTATCTACGAGCCCAAGACCGGAGCTCGGCTGTTTTCGGAGGATGCGCCGACGCTGATCTCGCACTATGCCGCAACGCTTCACTCGGAGTATTTCAAGGATGCTGTGCTAGCGTACGGATTAGATACAGTTGAGAACGGTGCAGGCTTCGCAAAGACGTTTACTTGCGTTCTGCGACTGCCGAGCACGTCTGCGGTGCGTAGCGTCGACTCGGGAGAGTGGAGGACCAAAAAGCAAGCGAAGCGAATGGCCGCATTCAATGCGTGCAAGCAGCTGAGAGAGCTAGGTGAATTGGACGAGTGGCTGATGCCCAAGCTCGTCGACGAGTCTGCTCTGCAAGAGGATGCGGTGGGAGCTGGCGACATCAATCCTCACCACAAGGCGTGGCGTGGAAGCGGATCGCCGATCCAACTACCGGCCAAAAAGATGGACGGTTGGGCAAGACTCTGCGCCGGCGCCGACGCGAGCCATGCCACTGAGGAAGAGGCATTGGCGTACCATGGCACGTATCTCGCGCTAGATGATTTCGACCTGGCATGCCAGCCGCTGTTGCTGCTCACGCGCGGTCCGCTGCCTTCGACCAGGCTGCTAAAGCTGGCGAGGTCTTCAGGCGGGCGACTGAAGGATGTACCTCAAAAGGCGCTCGGACTCATGACGACACTCAGCAAGGAGGAGCTCGAGTCGGCGAGACAGTTCACAGACTTCGTCTTCCCGCTCATCAGCAGTCGCAAGGACGGTCAAAACAGCAGTAATGGACAACAGAAGCGACCCGCAAAGAAGGTCGGCGAGCCCGCTGTCTTGGTCGTTCCTGTTCGCAAGGTAGACACCAACACAGAGGTGAAAACCGCTGCAGATCTGAAGCTCGACTTTCCCAGCACCCTTGCAACGTCTTCTCTCGATTTAGGTCAGGCTGACATCGATTTGCTGAAGGACCGGATCCTCGTCCGACAGCACGGCTACAACACCCACTCGTTCTACAAGTTCGAGTCGGTCCGACACGATCTCTCGCCGAATTCACCCATCCACCAGACGACCTCGACCACCGACTCTGAGCAACCGCAGACCTATCTCTCGCAGCATCTGAAGCGATATGGTCGATTCCACGCCTCGCGCGCCATCGCAACCGAAGGTATTTTCGACGTCCTCTCCTCCGAGCTCGCCAACACGCCCCTTCTCGAAGTCACGAAACTTCCGAAACTTCAAAACCTTCTCACGCCATCTCCTACCCCTCGCTCTTCACCCAAAATCACCACCTCACAACTCGTCATTCCGTACTTCTACCGCCTCCACCCGCTCCCCTACGCCCTCCTCTCGTCGCTCCTGCTGCTCCCCTCCATCCTGATCCGGTACGATCAGCTGCTGCTCGCGCTTTTCTGCAACGCCGAGCTGTTCGCCTCTCGACTCGAAACGGATGGGGTGCTCGAAGCGCTCACGCTGCCCGCGGCGGAGAGTGGGATCGACTACGAGCGGTTGGAGTTCTTGGGAGATACGTTTTTGAAGCTCGTGGCCAGCTGTCATACGTTCACGACGCGGCTGAGTAGGACGGAGGGGGAGTTGCATTTAGCCAACAAGGAGATTTTGACGAATGTGAGGTTGAGGGAGGAGGGGGTGAAGAAGGGGTTGGAGAGGTGGGTCGTGGGGAGGAGTGCGGGGGGTGGGGTGAGGGGGTGGAAGGC